CACAAACAAATGCATGGCTTCAAAATGCACGGTTATTACCGTATGTATTACGGGACAGAGTGGAGTAAGTGAACACTGTGTTAAAGTCAATGTGTGTTTGTATTATATAACAGTATTTATTGTGCTCTAAGATGTGGCATTAGGGATTAGGTTGAGTGTCAGAGCTACAATTTGCCTCTGTGAGTGTGTGTTTAATACTCAGTACATAGAGCTTAGAGCTTAGAGCTATGTTAAAAAAACATGTATGATTTATTTTTGATGTCATCATACATTATTTATGAGCTGCTGCACTAAAACCATTTTTTTAAATTAAAATCTTCCCTTTAAAATTTAATTTACATTTAAATATAGTAAAATATACTAATGTTCTAAGAGAAAGTGTGTCAGCCATGTGATATGCATCCATAATAAAATATAGGAGTTGGAAACACCTTTATCCACATAGGGTTTTCATCTTAATTTGAACCAATAACATTTAAAATTGGTTAATTCATCTTTAAAACTTTAACGTGTCAATGTGTTTGCTTATTTAACTGACACCAAGTGGCCAAATATTTCATAGTGCTTAAAAAATGCGTACTTTAGGGTTAGGGTCCTCTGATGCACTGTTAGTTTTGTGTCCTGTTTTTATCAGACTCAACATCTTCCACTTTGTCATCACATGTTATCTTGCAGATCTTTTGTTAGAAAAACAGTAACCCGTCTCAACCGTATATCTGCTTCTTCAATCCTCATAATCTCAATGTGTACACATTAACCACACAGTCCTACCAGTAAAGTGTAAACAGACATCTGTCACTCTCTCTCGCTCTTTCAATCTTTCAACCGTTTGAGTTCCAGCTCCATAAAGAACAGCAGACTTATGATCCAACACAAAGTGGGAGCAGAGGCTGATAGTCTGCTCAGTAACCACCTCATTTGTTTGCACTAGTTATGCATATAGTATGTTTCATAAGTAATGTGGTTATGATTAATTGATGTCCAAAATGCCGCATGTAGCATATTAAGGACATTATACATTATTCATTGTTAATGTTAATGCAGGCTTTATAGTAAATACTGGTAATCGCTCTTTGATTAAACTGTAAGTGTGGATGTAAGTGTGGTCTGTAAAATTATAGGAATACCAGTATCAGGTTATATTTGACATAAATACCTTATCATAACCAAAGCTCTTTACCGGCTGGACTTTAGTCTATAAGTGTCTACTGTTTAGTTGGCGAGCAACAGCTAATATTTTTAGCTTTTTCAGAAATACATCTGCCTGCTGCTACGATTACAAATTAGATTAAACTGCAGAGTTGGCATGTTTCCAAATATTTTTAACCAGAAATCATGTTTTTCAGGTCTCAGGCTCGAAAATGACATTCCCAGAACAAATGACCATATCTTCCCTTCTAAAAGGGTTAAATTAATCATCTTTTTTCTCAAAGTAATGATAAACCTGTGAGTTGGATGTAGAAAAGTCAGAATCAATATAGATGTTTTTTATTTTAAAGAAAATTCAGATTGAACATAGTAAAAAACTGTAAATTATAGTGTCCGTCCAAAAGTTCTTTTTTACTTATAGTGAAAACTACCCTTGGATGATGGGTTAGTAGACTAAAAGCTTTAGGAATCCAAAGTAAAACATATAATAAGTACCCTGTATCAAGATTGATGCAAAACAAGTGACATTTGACCTTTTTAGAGAGGTTTAGCAAAAAAGAACCACTTATGGGGTCATTTGGGTGGATTTGACATATCTCTGGCCCCCCTTGGTCGATTTTGCTGATTGACACCTCTTTTTAACCGCTAGAGCCAATGGAATCGAGGGGAGTTTCCACATACACACACAGGTTACCAAATAAGGAGTGAGAGTGACGTGTAGCAAAACCGGAAGCTGCGCTAACATCTGGTGGCTACCATTAGCAGCTAATTTTTCTTCTCCGATTTTTGCATAAAAATTGAATTATGGATTATCAATAATTTTTTCAAAGTGACAGACACATTGGTATAACCTATGGATTAACCTTCAGCCGCGTTTTTTCTCGTTTTAATGCCATTGAACACGACTTTTGATCAGAATAACAGCTAAAGTGAGCATATCTCCGTGTTTTGCTATACCTAAATCTACTTGTGTGTTGTCTGTATTTGCTTCCCCTGTCACGAGTTCTGATCGCTCAGTGATGATCCTTATATTTCTATAATCTGTGGACTCTCAGGATGTTATCTAAGCTTGTTTGTGCAGATCCAATAAGTATATCGATCGGTATGGCTAGAGTTCTGTGCTAACAGCCTTCAGATTCTTTCGCTCGTGGCTAATTCAGAGGCTCAGCGTTAGCTTTGTGTTTTTTTTTGCAAAAATAAATAAAAATGATCAGTTAGCTGAGTTTCTTCCCGTTACATGGATATAAAACATTCATAGTTTATTACATCTTAAGAAGCCCTCAGACACTTTTGCTTGCAGATTTGGCGGTTTTCGGCCCCTTCGGCGGGTCCGTGGGGCTTAAGAGGTTAACAACATCTTCTTTATAGTGGATTTGGTAAAAAACGAATACTTTCTCGGTAAAGATTCCCAGCATCAATTTAACTCCTAAAACCCCCTTCACCACTTTTGTCTATACCGATAGGATGGTGTATTTCTACCGTAAAACCATGCCTATAGCAGCTTTAATTTGACGGCTTGAAATAAAATCTTTTACTTTGAAGCTTTTCCTGTGTCCACTTTGGCAAAGCTTTGGTTGTAAATAATGTATTTTGTGGCAGCAGAGCTCATCACGTCCCCATTTACTGGCCCAACATTTGATAAAAGTCCGTTTTCTCAGTCTAATGGATCTCACTTCATCTGTATTTGTTGGCAAATGTCTTGCTTTCTTTCCTTCTCTTTTTCTGAATGTTTTTCTCCCACTTTAATGTAATTTCACCCCGCCTGCTCCTCTCCTCTCCACCTCCATTTATTTTCTTCTCATTCTCCATCTCTATCTCCTATTTTTGGTCCCAGATGCATCATTTATTCATAGCTTTGCATGGACTTTCTGACTAGAGAGCTATCAACAAGAGCCATCAGGGTTACACCTGAGCATTACACCTGAGCATTACACCTGAGCATCCACCTGAGCATCCACCTGTGACACACACACACACACACACACACACACACACACACACACACACACACACACACACACACACACACACACACACACACACACACACACACACACACACACACACACACACACACACACACACACACACACACACACACACACACACACACACACACACACACACAGTAGGCAGGTACTGAAGTCACGTTTTCCACCACATGGTTGCAAGTGATAGCAAAAGATTCAAACACCGTCATGTTGAACGTATAAAGCTTGCTCTGTTTAGAAATGCGGAACTCTTCTGCTAAGTTGTATTATTATAATAATATACTGCAGGAAACCATTGTGTGACCTGAGAGTATGGAGCTGAGTGTGACCTCAGACAACAATGTTAATGCTGCAGAGAAAATGCCAATCTTTTGAGTTTAGCTTGGGCTTTAGTGTGGTAAAGATTCTCTGAGATTAAAGGGGCCCTATTATGATCGTTTTCGGGTTTCATAATTGCATTTTGTTCATTTACTGTGACATGTTTACATGCTTTAATGTTCAAAAAGCTCTTTATTTTTCCTCATACTGCCTGTGCTGCAGCAACTATTTTCACCCTCTCTCTGATTGGTTAGCTGGCCAGATGTCCCGCCTCTTAGCCTATGCTATCACGTAAAATGTATTTGGAGTGCTATAGCCAATAGAAGCGCAGAGTGACGATGTGAAGTCACTATGTTTCAGGAGAAAATAAAAGGAGTGTGTGGAAGAGTACTTGTGTGTGCCTTTGCAGACCATTCACAAAAACCTATACAAAAAATCGCCAAAAAGCAGAATGTAGCCTCTTTCAGCTAAGCAGCTGGATGCTGGGCCCACAAAGAGCAAAGCAACATCTGTGGGTGAGCTAGCACGTGACGTTTTAAACTGAATGTAACAGTTATAGTACACACAAGGACAATGTGATTATTTGTCTACTAACATTGGTCTGTCCCATGCTGGGGTGTTACATTACACCACAGCAATAACAATAATATTTTGCTCTAATAAATGATATGCCATGCAAAACCTCAGCATCACATCGTCAAAGTGACTCCTGAATAACACAGAGGTTTGTTTGTTATCAGTATGAAACGGAGCCTTACAGAGCTGCAAACCTCAAGACTAGCATACTTTAGCAACTGCTGCTAAGTTCCCTCCATTCAAATCACACAGACCTCTTCAGTTCAGTTTATACTTCTGTAAACAGAAGTCCGGCAGCAAATACCTCCTACATAAGAAACTCATTCATAGTTTAAAGGTCACTCACAGGGTTAGGGTTAGGGTTATATCTACCCACAATTAGCCACAGTGTGGTCTGAAATGTGGCGGGTTTAGGGTTAGGGTTGGGGGTTTGTGTGGATGCATGCACCAAAGTGGTTTGCAGCTATTGGGAATTTGGGCTTAGTTAAACCATTCCACAGTATACATTCAGCTTTAGTTTTCAATCTGTTTTCCAACCAGTTGAGTTGATAAGTACATTGTGATCTATTGATGTGAGCCATCAGCAAATATTGCCTAAATTGTTTAATTCAACTGTGCATACAGTACAACCATTACAGGGGAAGTACAGAGTGAGGGGCAGAGAGGGAAAGGACTTAGGGCTGCATGAGTTACAGCTCAGCACAGCTCAGCGAATGAGTGAGTGTTACGCAAGAGCTCAGTCAGCCCAGCGGGAGTTAAGAGGGGGGAGAGAGAGAGAGAGTGAGAGAGAGAGAGAGAGAGTGAGCAGTGAGGGAGAGAGAGAGAGAGAGAGAGCAGTGAGGGACAGAGAGGAGAGCCGGAGAGGAAACAACAGCATGTGAGAGCAGATTACAGCTGGATCTACACACACACACACACACTATCATACACTCTCCTTTACTGGCTTCTCTGTCCTATCTCTTACAGCACGGCAACATCATGAGGGGGAGCGCAGAGGGGGTTTTCCTCTCTCCGCTGAGTGAGTGAGGAGAGAAGAAGAAAAGACATCAGAGAAGAGGAGAGGAGAGAAACTTTCCTCGAAAGGATCTTCTTGCTGAGACTAGACCATGAGGCTGTGAATCTTCCCTCTTACGGAGCTCTTCTTCCTCATTAGCTGACCCCATGTCTCCCAAACGTGGACCCCCCACTCGGAGCACCCAACTCTGGATGCTGCTGTGCACGCTGCTCTGTGCTGTGGTGCTGGCAGGGGGCTCCACCCTGAGCCCAGAGGACTTACGGAGCACCACAACGCTGCCGGAGGACTGGACCGGGACCCCCATCCAGCTGCAGCCAGACCTCCAGACTGAGAACCTGATGATCAACGAAGCACAGACTGAAGCACAGACTGAAGCACTGACAGAAGCACTGACAGAAGCACTGACAGAAGCACTGACAGAAGCACAGACTGAAGCACAGACTGAAAAACAGACTGAAGCACTGACTGAAGCACAGACTGAAAAACAGACTGAAGCACAGACTGAAGCACAGACTGAAGCACAGACTGAAGCACAGACTGAAAAACAGACTGAAGCACAGACTGAAGCACAGACTGAAGCACAGACTGAAAAACAGACTGAAGCACAGACTGAAAAACAGACTGAAGCACTGACAGAAGCACAGACTGAAGCACAGACTGAAAAACAGACTGAAGCACAGACTGAAGCACAGACTGAAGCACAGACTGAAAAACAGACTGAAGCACAGACTGAAGCACAGACTGAAAAACAGACAGAAGCACTGACAGAAGCACAGACTGAAGCACAGACTGAAAAACAGACTGAAGCACAGACTGAAGCACAGACTGAAGCACAGACTGAAGCACAGACTGAAGCACAGACTGAAAAACAGACTGAAGCACAGACTGAAGCACAGACTGAAGCACTGACAGAAGCACTGACAGAAGCACAGACTGAAGCACAGACTGAAAAACAGACTGAAGCACAGACTGAAGCACAGACTGAAGCACAGACTGAAGCACTGACAGAAGCACAGACTGAAGCACAGACTGAAAAACAGACTGAAGCACAGACTGAAGCACAGACTGAAGCACTGACAGAAGCACTGACAGAAGCACAGACTGAAGCACTGACAGAAGCACAGACTGAAGCACTGACAGAAGCACTGACAGAAGCACAGACTGAAGCACAGACTGAAGCACTGACTGAAGCACAGACTGAAGCACTGACAGAAGCACAGACTGAAGCACAGACTGAAGCTCTACAGACTGAAGCACAGACTGAAGCACAGACTGAAGCACTGACTGAAGCACAGACTGAAGCACAGACTGAAGCACAGACTGAAGCACAGACTGAAGCACAGACTGAAGCACAGACTGAAGCACAGACTGAAGCTCTGCAGACTCAGAGCATCACCAGAAACTACACAGGTTAGTTTGTTCAACCATCAACCGTATATTCTTTCATTTTTACTGCTACTGCTTTCTCGGACATGTGATGTTTTGTGATGATTTATCTTTGTGTGCAATAACTTTTTAGCCACATGCCTGAAGAGCCAAAGTTACATTGGCATTTAAATACATATTTAATGCAATTATACATATAGCTATAACTCCTTTCAGGGCAATGACATGTATTGGTGTTAGCTTCTCAGATGGGAATATTGGGATGTGTCTGATAGTTAACTGAACATCTTTTGATTGATGCAAAAAGCTACTGATATTTCACTATTACTGGAATACCAGTCATTATTCATCCCTTCAAAACGTCATTATCACTTATCACATGACGATATTAAGATAACCCTCTAAATTAATAGTATCATTGTGATTGTGGTGTGTTCATCATTCATTATTATTAGGCTTTGTATTGGTAATAAAAAAATGGGTACTTATGGAAATTGCAAGAGTAACAAAATCGTTTAAAGTTCTTTAAAACTGTACCTGTTTCTCCTAATCTGAACCTGACCCGGATCTAAGTATCGGTGACGCTTAACCTCAAACTGAACCTAACCTGAATTTAGCCCTAAATCTTCTACAGAAAGTGTGCTAAGAGAACACAAAAATACATTTAAGATGTCTTTGTACAGTCTCACATTCCATCCCAAAACTCTATTGTGCATCATAACACAAAAACACATGCATGTATGTGCATGTTTACTTGTATGTGAGTTGAGTTGGCCTTCCAATGTGTGGTGCATGTTTGTGCACACATTTCTGTGTTAAGAGTACACCACTTATGGAAGGTGGGGAGAATTATTAATAGTGTGTTAATATGTGAAAGGTCAATCCAAGTAACAAAAAAGATAGTTGTGTGTTTCTACATGTGTTCTGACTCACATTGCTTATGTGGGAACACAGAAGTGTGAGTGCATATAAAGTCAGCGTGTTTGGTGTGTGTATGTGTGTGTGGTGTGTGTGTGTGTGTGTGTGTGGCGGCAGGTGATGCAGTTACAGTTTGTTGTATCGAGGCTGAAGAGAAAGCTGCAGCGCGGCTCGCATGCCTTCCCCTCCACTGGAGCATGAACTCGCTTTCTCCTCCGCTCATTCTCCCTTTTTCCTTTTCTCTTCTCTTCTTATATGTCACTCTCTCTTGCCCCTGTTTGCTTTAAACAACCACTGTCTTATCTGTCTCCTGTTCCACTTATCGCTCTCCCCCCCCGTCACTTTGTTTGTAGTGTTTTCATTTCATTCCTCTGTTTCTATTTCTTTTTCCACAGTCCTCTGTTCCTTGCTCGCCTCTTCTTAGTCACAGAGCCCTTATCCCCGCGTGTATGCATATATAGCCTACAGCGGATGACAAAATGCAAACATCATGTGCCTAACACACACACACACACACACGCAGACACACACAATCGACGCACTGGGCCCAAAAGGCAGCAATCTTCTTAAAGGTTTAGAGATTCAACTACACAGTTGCTCGTTTCATAACGGCAGCTCTATGTCTGACAGAGCAGGAATAAGCACTTTAATAACACACACACACACACACACACACACACACACACACACACACACACACACACACACACACACACACACACACACACACACACACACACACACACACACACACACACACACACACACACACACACACACACACACACACACGCCTAGAATCCGAAATCCTGGAGGTGTGATTTATATCAACGTTCCCAAACCAGTGCTTATTCAAGCAGCATTAACAGATCAATGCAGCGCTTCTGTATGTTGTTTACTTTTCTCTACTATATTTTAAGCCAATTTAAGGTCTGGGTTGCACAGCAAGAATGCGTTTTTGACATTTTAGAGATTTTAATTTTAGCCCTTTGATAATAAAATTAGCCTCATCCGTCATTTTTAGGACAAAAATAAATCCAGTTAAATATAGAAGACTTTTGTACACGTTGAGCCTTTGGACTCATGAGGCACTGAATATCAACAGATCTGTAAATTACTTTTCAGGAAGAGTTGAAGCAGTTTATAGTTTATTTTCCAAATGTACTACACTACACTTACTTCATGGTCTTTATGCAGAGCTTACAAAACACATGCTCTTAGTGTCTGAGGGACCCCCCCCTCTACTGTATTATTATATTCCTTCCAAAAGGAGACAGAAACAAGCGCAACGATGTGCAACTGGGTATCAAACACAACCAAGTTATTGTGGTTCCAAGTGGCTAAACGCTCTTAAAGAATTCAGTTTCTTGCAGCGTCTAACTGACAATAAGCTGCTTATTCTTCCCTCTAAGTCTCTTCGGATAAGATCGTCAGTCAAAAGCCTTAAACGCAAATCTGAAATGTTACACTGACTTTAATCTGATTTCCTGACAGGCAAAGCCAATTACCTTTGTCTATTCCAGGCTATTTCTGGTGCAATACATCCTGTTAATGACACGCTAACACACAGGAATACAGATGCACACACTAACCGTGAGGAGGAGTCAAGTGGATTTTAAAGCCAATTACTTCCATCTATTCTACCTTTTTTCTTCAGAACTGTATGCTGAGATCTTCACTCCTGCATCTGACATTAGCTCTGTAAACTTTAACATGCACAATTTCTGCAAACATAAATAACCCACAATGGGAATTTCTTTTCTGGACACACATGTACCCCTAGGCGTATTTATGTCAACGACTCACACTATTGTCACACCTCAGCCGTACAGGCTTTGTGCAAAAGCTTCTCACGCCTTACCTTAACCCTAACCTAACCTAACCCTAACCCGCTCACCAAACAATGTCACTGAGGAAGAGTCTGAATTAGCTTTCTCACTGCTCTGATGGTTTTAGCTGGATGTGAACAACTAATAGGCAGGGTAAATGAAGGCGAAGACAAAGCAATACTTAATCAATGAAAGCAATAGTAGGGTATTTTGGTATTTGCTATGATGTTTTTTCGTTAGTAATGTAGGTGGAGTCAGCAGCCAGTTGAATAGCTTAGCATAAAGCTTGAAAACAGTACTAAATAGTTAGACTGGCTTGGAATAAAGTTAACAAAATCTGCTACAGGTACAGGTTTCTTTGCCAGGAAATGTGTGGGAAATTCAAATGACTGTTTTTTTTCTTTCTTTTATATTCTGGCATAACAACTGGCCCCCCAAACAGCAAATGTTTGTTTTTACACTTCAATTTGTGTGTGCACTAGACAAGAAAAAGTCCCAACAGACAAAAACCCCACCAACATCTGCCTTTTGTCAGAAACAGTTATATAATCCTTTTAATTAACGGATGGTTGTAAAACACACTTCACTAACATTCAAATAACCAACAATTTGAATTGTTGCTCTTTACACCACGAAAAGAAGGGGTACTATACTTCAGAACTTTACAGTACCTCAGTGATATTTCTGATCTGAATCTACTTTTAAATATCCCAAAAGCTACAAAAAGCTCTGTCAGATAGTTATTTCCGATTGTCTTCTGTGTTAGATGTAATTTATCCTTTTCCAACCACTTGCTGTGTGTACTTTAGATTTCGTATGCTGCATTCCCAGAATGCCAGACTGAGTTTGAGTTGACTTATTTGAAGCAAAGTGACAGTAACTGTGGCTGAACACGCAAGAAAAGAAAGTGGGCATTTAAGACCTCTTGTCTCTTTGTCATGTAACTTTGATGAAGGTTTTCGTATAAAAATTGAACGATGCTTTTATGGCGTCCATTGAGCTGCGGGCTTAGTCTGTTTCCCACATATGGCTGAAGGTCTTTGCATGTTTGTCGTCCCTATGCCATGTCAGTAATGTCTGAAGTTCAAAATCTGAAATTCAAGTCTGAAATTAAATATATTTTAAACCAATGTTTATCCAGGGAAATCTGACCAAGCATATGGTAGAAGTTGTGTCTCTTTTCAGGGAGAGTCTAGCAAAAGGATGACATGAACTTGCATTACCTGAAGTGTAGGATCCAGTGTCTTCACAGACTGTAAGAAGTGGACAAAGTAACTATGATGCCACTGGTTTACGGACTGCCGTTTTGAAGACTCTAGATTAGCATGTGGGCCGTCGCCATCTTGGTTTTTGCAACCAGAAGTGACAGGGAAGTGTGGTCCTAGGTACAACCGAAGCCTGAAGAAGACTTTAGGCAACCTAGATGTTACACTTACCTTTGATGAAGAGAAAACAAACTGTGAAAGAGAAGACGTAAACAAGGACACACATTTGACTCCTTCCCCTCCAGCCTTCTTTATGTATGGCTGTTTAGGGCAGATCTGGGACACCTGAGCTAAGGGAGAAAAAAGGAGGGAGAAAGAACACAGGGGGTGAGCACCGAACACACCCAATGAGTGGCAGTGTTGGGAAGAGAGTAGTGTAAATGACTGTAGCTCAAGAGAATGGATTTAAGAAGAATTTGAAGCCTTTACAAATTGCTCAAAGCTAAAGAAAAGAGAAGAAAATGGATAGCTGCACTGTAATCCACCCAGGGAGTGAAATGTGGATTTGTTGTCAATTTTAGTTACTAATACAAGTTTAGTTTTTCTTAAAATCGACTTTTACTGCAATTGATTCAACAGTACACATTTCAGCTCAACATAACACGTACCCAGACTGAATGTTTTGCACATTTACTACATGCTAACATTATTAGCATAGCCCTATGGCTTTTTATCTTGCATGAATTAGCCTATAATTGCTAGCGGATTTTTTTATTTGTAACTTAAGAAATGATTATCTGAACATTATTAATTACGGCAGCCATGTTGCAGGATGTTTTCCCCCCCTTTTTCCGCGCAGTCCTACAGAGGCGGGGCTTGTTTTGGGGGGGAAATGACTTCAGCATTGGCTTCACTTTTCACACCAGGAAAATGTTTGTGTCGGTGTGTGTGGCTGCCTGGTGTCCACGTACAGGACATGTGAGAGTGTGTGTTTGTTCTGTTCCTTCTGTGCATGTGTGTGTGTCTGAATCTTTAATGCAGAGAGCCTAATCTTTATTTAATCACAAACTATTCCGAGTGCTTCCCTGTCAAAGACAAGCGAGGAGGGTTTTAGAGAAGAATACAGCAGAGTGGATGTTTGGTTGGCTTTTTCGGGTTGCCAGGTTCAGGGGTTCTAGAAGTGTATTAGCTCCCTGCTGGCAACTGGACAGTTTGATTGGCAACCCACAGTTTCCACAATGACAGAGAGGCTTTTCTGAATGAGAGTGAACTACAGCAAACAGAGCGAAGAGTACACACACACAGAACTGAACTCTTTGAGTCAAGCACACATTACCTGTCAGTAAAGATTTCAGACACATGAATTCTGTGCTAAGGAGCTTAGGTCAGTCTCACACACACAACTTGACTTTAAATTTAACACAAATTTCAATCTTTTCGGCATTAATTCCAGTTTTTATTGATGCTAGGCCCCTCTGATGGTTTTCTGTTTGTCCACTTCACAATGCCGTCTTTGTTCTTCTTCTCTGTTTACTATATTGGTCGCCTGGCAGGGGAGGTGGGAGTTACTTCAGGGTCTTGGGGGGAGAGATTCCTGCTGCGGCGTGGCAACAGCCAGCAAAAAAACCTCTCTAATCTTAAAACACACAACCTTACGTAACATGTTCAATATTTTATCCCCCTTTTTAGAGGTAAAGGCTTTCTCTCATGTGAGCCAGTGTTTGTGTGAGGAAGCTTAAGAGGTGCATTCCAGATTTAACAGTTGGTGTTAGTTTTCATAACACTTGTAAAGAGGGTGTTAACAAGAGTTTGTTAGCTAGCTAACAAGCTGAAATACTTATTTTATAAAACATGAAATTATTTAAAGCAAACTTAAGATACCCCATGTGGGGCTTCTCTTCTCTCCAGTAATGCTTCTCTCAAGCAACATACGAAATGTAGAGTATTTTATAGTTTTTGCCATGTCATTTTAAATATAATAGCGTCTATTTATGTATTGTGGTGTTTGCTGGATTTTTCAAATCTGAATTTATTATCACCCAACTCCTTAACCTTAGCTCTATTGAGCATTTTTGTGTCTTTTTGTGTGTTGTTTTGGTACCACAGCATGGATATGCACTAATTCTTATGTTTTTATTATTCTTAAAAAGCCAGATTGAATTGAAGAACTTTCCCAAATGTATACTGTTGTCCTGACTGTTTTGGTTAACTCTTTCTCAAAACATATCAACAAGCAGCAACGGCTACAATAAAAGGTGCCTTAGGGAAACAGGATGGCTTTTAGTCTCTTTAAAAAAACTCTTTAAAAGTAGTCAGCTTGTCCTTGTTTCCCTGCACTGTACCCATGACGCACGTGTCAGCAGTGTGTGCCTCGATGCAGAGGATATATGTGTGTGTGTGCGTGGGGGGGTGGAGTTACTGTCATCTTCACACAGGATCATGGGATCCTCTTCCTCTCTTTCTGTACGCCGCTGCAGAAATCCTCCCATCTGTCGTTCCTAATCAGAAGAGAGCAGCTTGCATGTTCACAGGGTCTTATTGTGGGATGAAATCTCACACACACACACACACACACACACACACACACACACACACACACACACACACACACACACACACACACACACACACACACACACACACACACACACACACACACACACACACACACACACACACACACACACACACACACACACACACACTACACTAATACTGACGCAGCAACGCAAACTGGAACATCACGTGCCCTTCTAAACATTACTTCTAAAACATCATCATGCTTTAATTACATACATTCAGCATACATACATACAGTTCTCTAGACAAGCATTTGTTTTGTTTCTTAACATACAGACATAAGTGATTCATTGAAGTGAGCATTAAAAAGGTAGAAATGCTGAGTCATCAGCTTTGATTAATAACCCACTGCAGATACCACATGGTCGTTCTGTGGTACAGTAAGGCACTTATTTTCCATGTGGGTCTTTCAGCGAAACGTTGTGTGACCAGCGTCGCTGTACGTTTACATGAGAGCCTCTGAGATTTCCGCAATCTCCCCCACAATCTAACAATAGCTGCTGTATCACAAGACCTCTGATATGAGTATTGTAGCATAAGGAAGTTAAAAATAGCACTTTCTGTCTCTTTCTCTCTCTGTCTATCTCTCGAGTGGAAATGCTAATGTTCAGACTCTCAGCATAGCAGACTGTCTGTCTAGGGTAGAAATGAAAAGAAAGGAGAACAAAGAAGTGAAGGTAGCAAAGTAGAAAGAAGTTGACAGGGATGAAGGAAAAGGGACATTTAGAGGATTCATAGAGTTTAAAAAGTCTGTTTTATATTGCCAAAAATAGCCTAAAAGCTCTCCAAAGTGAGAGGTCATAATCCACCAATTTGACTATTTCTAGATCGATTAACTCTCTACTAAGGATTTGTTCACAGCTGATACGTTTGAAGATGTATGCTAATTATGAAACTGTATCATAAACATTTTATAATGTTTGTAATGTTCTTCCTTATTTAGGTCCCAAGCTCTCAATCACAAAGTATAGTGAAGCGCAGACGCAAAGCAACATATAAGATTTTATCTATAATTCCAAAACAAAGTGGAATCATCTGTAAATGGGTACCGTGATTGCTATTTGCTATGATTTTTATCATAATCGTGTATGGGCAAACCCTGTTATTACTTTTTCATTCCACTTTTGCCAGGTTCAGGCAGTATTCTGACTGTGCAAAATACATTTTTGGGCAGTATTTGGCATCTACAGGAGACAAATTTGTGATTTTTACTCCTACCAGACCAGACAGTCACCTTTCCATTGCCCTCACTAAATCTTGCATTAAATACATTTACTGTGAAAGACATAGGACCGTAAAACACTGTTAATCAGGTTCAGAAATTAAAAAAACATCTAGATTTCTCAACAAAATGTAATAAATTATTTTCATATAAAATGTCCTTATTCGAGGGTGGGACCTATAATAAGCCTTTTGGCCTTCCTTGCATATTCTGTTATTATTTAGAACGTTTTTGTGACCCATGAGTTGACCTTGTGTCCTCAGGTCTGTCCTGCATCCCGATCCTGCCTCCCCGTCGCGGCTCCTTCTACGTGGAGAGCGGCACCGGCACGTCCATCGGCAGCGTGTTGGCCTTCTGGTGCAGGGAGCGGTACCAGCTGGTGGGCAGCGACAAAATCTCCTGCTATGTGAAGAACGGCAGGCCGCAGTGGAGCAACTACCTGCCTGTCTGTGAAGGTAAGACGCTTTATTCAGACACTGTCCTTTTCTTATTAGATACATATTTTAAAGGTATCCTATTATGCTATTTTTAGGCTCAGATATATATAAAAATATATAAAAAGTCTATGTGTTTTGCTCAAAATACCAAACAGATCACCCCATTCTAGCCATGCCTCATATCCCTCTATTTCAGCCCTGTTAGAGAAGTGCTGATTCTGGGTCCTTAGCTTTAAAAGAAAAATCATATCTATCCAGATACTCAGCTAAATGCTACCGTGATTAAACGCCATATCATGTTCAAAACCACATCAAGGATTATTTCTGAAACAGTATGGAGCTCAAATGCTTTTACTCTTGCGGGTTTACCACTAGGCGAGTTCCTTTTTTGATTTCCTGCTTTTTTACACTTACTCTCTCCAGTACAGGTTAGCTCTGAGTGTTAGCGGTGCTTGCTAATGTAAACAAAGACCAAATTACTTCCAAAACACGTCGCTCATTGTTTCTGATAGCGACGTTTCTGATAGGGCCGTGGGTGTAAAGCCAGCCCATATTTCCGATATTACGTCATGTCGGCAGCAAATCTGGATCAGCTCCGTTGTACCCCCCGTTTTTAGAGATGTGGGTACGGAGGAAAAGAGAGAGGGTTTTGTTTTCTGACACTTTGTGAGTTCCCTTACACACCGGGGACACACATAGGAGACCTTTAAATGTAATTTGCCCCCCTGCAGCGATCCCCAGACCTGAGGACCGGGGTCTCAGAGTGGCTGTGTTGGCCTCAGTGGTGAGCGGCGTCGTCATCCTCGCCATGTCTCTGTCCTTCCTCATCTGCTGCCTTCAAGAGCGATCCGGTCGGGACCGAGCCAAGAAGGAGGGACGGAGCAGGTAGGACTGCACCTAAAGTAACTCTCGATACCACCCCCCACCCCACCTGTGACATCCCCTCTGTGAGGACTGAGCTGATACAGGTGTCTCCCCCTCAGGCGCAGGGAGACGCGCTCCAGCCGGCGCAGCCAGTGTTGGCTGGAGAGAGAAGAGGGAGAGTGGGAAGCTTTCCCTCCTCCCAAGATCTTCCACCTCTCCCAGAGGATGAATCCCCACCTGGCTCCTGACGGCCCCCTCTATCTGACTGGAAGTCTGGGTGGATATGAGAACAGGGGGTACCAGAGGTAGGACTCACAGCACACTAAAGAAGTTGGTTCAGTCTGCTATCGTCAACACATTTCAGGAAATCTATATGAAATGCTCAAATTCAGTCAGTCGAATGGGAATGGTTTACCAAAAGCAAGACAAAGGGAGCAAAAGGTTTTCTTTTTCATGGTGGCAAATGGTTGACCCATCACCTTAGGTCATCAAAGTACTCATGGAACAAGGTGTCTAACACATATCTACTTCCCAAAACTATATGTCTAAACCATACATTTTGGAACTTTTACTGAAGCCGATTGTGTTCGCAATCCCATTGTTGCTTTCCAAACCGATTGATTTTGTGTCACTGCATCCGAGGGAACATTCAACTAGCTAACAGTGGGTGAAATGACGTGCCAAAGAGCTCCATTATTGTTAACAAATAATAATTAATCACACATTGATTTACTGGCTGACATGTTACTTCATTAGTATAAGCACACACTGGCCTGTTCATGTAAACACTCATCAATGTGTGTTATTCCACCGCTGAAAATAGTCCCCAACAGATGCACTTATTTTAAACCTGTTTTTACATATTTGGATGACTGGCTATCTCTACTTCCACTTCCTGCCTAATTTCCCGCTCTTTTCCTCCTGCAGGAGTCAGGAGAGTTTGCTGAAGGCGTCTCTTCCCGGACTCTACCGCTCCGAGTCTCAGCTCTACCCCCATGTCGTCCTGCAGAGAGTCCCAACTCCCACAGCACCCTCCGCCCCGCTCTACCTCCACCTCCCATCCTCCTCATCCACCTCCACACCCGCCCACGCCGCCCCCTACGTGCAGCCACACCTCATGGCGCAGTACCCTATCCCAACCTACCCGCCCCACCCCAACCCTCACCAGACACCGGCGCCCATCTATCCCAACCCCAACCCGACACCACAGCGGCCATGGCAGTAGCTCCTGGGGAAGATGTTGAAGGGACACATGGAGACTTCCTACTCCTCCTAGTTTTCTCCCACAGAAAGGATGCAATGTTCCCAGAGAGACATAAAGAACATGTGTATAGCTGCAGTACCCTCTTTTACTGCATGCTGCTTCTCCTGCATTACGGACTAAACAGGAACTGAACACTACATTTGTCTCTTTAATTCTTACCGCTGCTGCAATCTCTGCAAGAGGAGTTATGTCGAGAAACTCCAAGAGAAATGACAAGAAAGTTCCAAGTAGCCGGTCAACAAGGGAACACGGGAAGTTGGACTTGACTAATTCTGGAAGGATTTGAAGGACTATGGCCGCCTCTGTTTAGGTAGCGCAAATCTTTCAGCAGTATTCATTTTTTAATATAAAAGGATCCCTATTAGCCTTACTGAGGTCCACAAATCTAATCAAGACATGTAAATACAGTCTATATTTTTGCTTTAAGAATTAACATGAATTTCTGAAATCGGACTTGTGAGGTAACAAACGGTTTGGGGTCACTTTACAGATCTTATTAATAAGTACTGATACTTTCCCACACTGCATGGAGAAAACAGATTGGCGGGACTTAACACTGTGATTTAAATGCTGCTGTTGCTGCAGACTCTGAATGCAAGTGTGTGCTAATAATACAGGGATCGCTTTGAAAGGTCACCTATTATGCAAAATCCAAATGTTCATATCTTTTATACATAAATATGTGTCCCCTCTGTGTTAAGAGATTCGGAAAGTTTCAGTTATATAAAAACCTGGCTGAAAATGAGCTGATCAGATTTTGGCCACTTTGTGATGTCATAACGTTTTTTTTGGGTTGTCCAACCATTAGCCAATAACAAACCAAGGTAACACCCGTCCACCTTATCACCTGAATCTCCTCCTAGAGCACCATTGTGATTTTTTTAAACCAATCATCTTGCAGAGGGGCGTGGCCAGCAGCAGCTCATTTGCATTTAAAGCTACAGAAACAGAATCTGCACTTTTGAAACAGTGCTGAAACCGAGGGGTTTACGGCATGCTACAATGATCTGTTTGGTATTTCGAGCCACATCACAGACGTAGTGTATATATCTGAGACCTATAATATATTGTTGAAAAAGAGTATAATAGGGGACCTTTAAATGTATCCTTTTGTTCTCACCAGAATTGTGAACTAAATGTTAAACAAATGTTGTTTGTACTGCCACGACTTATTCTGTCCCAACTATCTATGGCAAAAGTTTGATTTATGTTTGGCAATTAACTGGTAATGTGTTCAGAATTTTGAAGAATAATTACAACTAATTAACACAACATTCTTAGTTTAAAGGCTGGTTTGAAAAGGAAAACATTTGAAACATCTTGTGTGATGTAACGAGGGTTCTCTGTAAGGAGGTCCGACCCAGAAATGCACTGATGTTTGAGCAGCGAGATAAGAAACGAGTGTGGACCTATGTACTCTGATACACTTGAATTATTTAAAAATGTCAGCTGTAGTTGTGACCATTTACATGTATCTGATATTCCCTTGCTCTACTGTATCTACATGCATTCATAAACTGTGTCCAGGCTCATTCCAGCTGTAGGCACACTAACAAACTGCACTTTACATTTTTTGACGGGGGGATTAAACGGCTTTCATAAATAATTGACTGTTAACTATTTGTAGTATTATAATAGGACTGCCATGCAAGCTGAATAAAGAGACTTTGGTTTAGTTGAACAGTTGATGGCTGAGCATGTTTTCAATGTGTGCTAAAGAGGGGAAGAGAAGAGAGAAAAGAGGGATGTAATTCATCACAGCGTCATGACACTGGACTTCAGTGACAGAAACAGGAATGAGCCGTGTATATTTTGTACACCTAAAAAGATTTGGTGGTTTGGAAAGCTGATGCAGCAACAGGAAGTTGGGTAATAGGGGATGATGGCTTTAGTTTACTCGACAGATAAGCTCTTCCACACTGATCACAGGAGAGAGACAGACACACAGAGTCTACATATTTACATTGAAAATTGGCTTCAGGTTTTCAGTACTAAAAAGAAGAGACATATTTTTTCAATAAAAAAAACCCATCATATTATTTATGATAAAATCAGGGCTAGATAAATACATTAAAAAAAAGAAAATGCCATTACATGCAGTAGGGAAACAAAATATTGTTTTAAAAGTGCCTGATTAATTTCCCATTCTATGTTATATTAAAAGCCAAAAAAATAAAATACAAAACCTTAAAATAAATGGATGCCATTTTAAGAGATAAAAACTGAACAGCCTTTGATTAAGAGTAAACATCCCTTTAAGGAGTGGTCAAATGTTTAAAACTATGTACATATCCGTGAAAAAACCAACACTGAGATCCTGCTGCATGTTTGTCCCTCCTTATTTCCGTATTGTTTCAATGAGTAACAATAAAAGACAACTGTTCGGTTCCTTACAATGTGCTTATTTTGGAAACAAATGATGAATTCAGTTGAATAGCAAATAAGGAGTACTGCATGAGATTCCTGCCTCTGGCAAATATACTAAATTATAAAACAATATCTAAACTAGACACAACAGAGTTCAGACAATTCATGAAAAAAAAAAACTTTACTTTCAAATACCTTCATTCCTTATTACAGCAGATACATCAACCACACTTTGCACATACAAAAATCATGTTGTCCTGTGATAGCAGGGCGTGTTCAATAAATGGCCCTGGTGGCAACAGCAAATATTTTCCAACAGATTTGCTTATAAAGTCCAATAAAGGTTGATTTACAATTGACATTTGTCAGGGTAATCATTTGTTCAAGGAAACACAATCATAATTTGCTTTCAATATTAGAGGAACCAGTGATATACCAACAATTTACAGGTGCAGTATGAAGGCAAGTGTAAAAGTAAAATCCAAACTCATTCATTCCAGGGGTTATTCTGGGATCAAATAAAATGTTATTTCCTTTAGCATGCCCTCTCCTGATGAATGGCATTAAGCGGGTTATTTTGAAAATAGGTCATAAGAAAATAAATAGCCACAGCGCTTGCTCAGACCCTTAGCTGCATTGTGGCTGCATTCAGGCCTTTTTGTTGCGAATGGGGGACTGAACATGTGTCTCTCTGCTGGGCCTCTGCAAAAAGAACACCAACATCTGATCCAGAATAGCTGGAGAGCTGATTGAAAGTGGGCTAAACTTTCATTTCCTTTTAGAGGATGTTGTGGTGATTGGACATTTGGAGATAAATCAACAACAGTTTGTTCATACTCAGTGCAGTGTTGGGTTGTTTCAAAAGGTTTACGGGTTAGAAGAAAGGGTATAAAAGACGGTAATAACCTCTGGTCTAAAACATGTTAGCATGTCCTTTTAGAGACGATGGCCTTTTCATATTTTCCCAGGAGTTCAGTGGATGAATGTGATATGTGAACACAGTAAGGCATGGCCCTTAAGTGCACATTTAATATGAAAACAGATACTTAAAAAAGGAAACGTGCATTAGAGGAGTTTCTCTAGCAGCACTGCACACAGCGGAGTGGGATCCTCCTCCAGACAATCCTCACTCATTGGGCTCGAACCCTTCTGAGGACACTGATATGTCCCTGAATACACTAAGGCTGGTGCCCCACGGGAATGCATACGGCAAAACGCATAGGATTAACGCAAACGCAATCGCCAAAAAGCTTCCGTCCACACGCAATATACACTGGATAGTGTCTGTTCACACGAGACAGCTCCGTTTAGCTCCAACCACTGGAAAAAGCTGCAGTACATATGCCGAGCCTGTACGTGGCGCTGTAACTTCCTCCAGAAAAAGCAGCGAAGAAGCATGGTTGCCATGGTTGCGCTTGTTTATTCTCCACGGTGGGGGCCGAGGGAACCGGGCAGAGTTTTTCGCCGGTCAAGGTGTGTAAAAGTTTAAATCTTCCGGACAAAATTATAAAAGTGCCGGTCAAAGGTCTTCTTTGTTATTTATTAAGCTTTAAAACAAATGAATAACGACGATATATAATAATAAAATACACGGAGCCTGTCCTCTCTTTTTCCTCTCTTCTGACAGCGTCAGCGTCAGTCTCATGCAGCAGCTGATCCAGTAATGATGACTCGACAGTAAAAATAAACATATTTATAACTAGTTTAGGTAGTTTGAGAGGTAATTAAAATAGCTAAGGGTGATGATCTGACTTGAAGTGTGTGTTTTGCTCCCGCTGCATCACAGCGGGAGCAGCTGCGTGTCTCCGTCCTGTCAGATTAGACTTCACTCGCGTTTATGTCCATATCGAGAGAAAGATAAATAATCTGAATTCAGTGTGCAGTGTACTTTTGCGGGGGTGAGCAGCAGAGGTGGGGGGAGGCAGGGCTATTGCGTCATCATTATCACAAAATGATCGTATAGAGGCGATCACACGGAGCCGTATGACCCCCCAGAGCGCTCCGTTCCCAGATCTATCCACCTTTGGACCCGTTGTCGTTTGCGGGGTCTGTTTCTATCGTTTCGTTATGGCGTCGTGTGGCAAAAAGGGCTATACGCAAGAGAAATATGCGGATACAACCCGTTTTCATTCCCGTAGGGCACCAGCCTAAATCCCAACATGCTCCGGGACACTTGAACCTCACAACCAGGTGAGAGACAAAGGGGGCCAACAAGGTAATTACAGTAACAATAAATCCCATTAAATCTTGTTAGTACATGGTGGAGTCTTTGGTAGAATTCCAGCAGGTCAGCTGTAGTCATCCGAGTCAGTCGCAGAATAAAACATCCGCTGAGGGTTCCCAGCAGGAAACGGCCCCCAGCTGGTAAGAGTTTAAAGTCTGTGCACTCTTTAGAAAGGCCAGTGTAAGTCCTCGTAGTCCCCCGATTGACCCACGTTTACCTCTGTCTCCAGCAGACTCATGATGACGGCCATTGCTGCCTCGTCGCTGCTGAAGCTGCTCAGCGCCGGCACCACCATGCCATCCAGGTCCAGCTGGGACACCTCGCCTGGTGAAACAGAGCCAAGACACAACTCTTCAGGAGGAAAACTCTAAAACAGTAGCATTGAAACATTTTGGGTGGGAGAATTAGAAATGATCTCTAAACCCAAAATCACTGCCATGGTTTCCCAACAAAAAACTGTTCTTGGAATACTCAAGGCTATTTTTGAAAGGATTTAGGAATGGTTGTTTAAACTTCATAAAACATACACCTGCATTTGCACATATGTTGGATTGTTCTATACTGTTGAATCAGTTTGAGGAGGGGTGTCAACAGTACAAAGACTGAAAGAGTTCTTTACACCTTTGGGAAGGTTGTGCGAGTTTCTTATTATTCTTTGTGTATAAGTATAGAATAACTGATAACGCCTCAGATTGGATATTTCATAATCCTGTTCACAGTACCTGAACTGTCAGCAGTCGCACTGCTGGCGCCAGCTGCTGTCCTGGAGTCAGACTGTGATGAGCTGCTTGCTGCCCCCCCTCCGCTGGACGCCTGAAACAAGACATGTCTCCCATGACGTGTGTAATCAAGGCGAGACACAACAGCCAAACATAGTTGGTTTATGATCTGGTCAGTATTGACATTTATAGCGTTTTTATATCTTCTTTCAGAAAAGAAAATATGTTTTTTTTAAAAACAGATTTGACTAATTTTGTCCATTTGTGTGTAGTGCAATGCCAGTGCAATGTGTGCAGTTGCCTTGAATGCAATCTATTTTTGAACAATTATGATTTAAATATATTGTTACCGCTTCTTATATTGAATTCTTTTTTTTTTTTTTATATATTTTTCATCATAACTTCCCATGTCCAGATTAATTTTCTTCATACAATGTATAAAATACTAGTTTTGATAATTTGGATATCAATACTACACAGCACCAACATTAGCTTACAATTACAAGTAAACATATATTTCCATACAAACTATCTCGCCATGCTTATACCGCTAAACACAGACAGTAACACATATAACAATAAAACACAAAACATGGCTCTGAAGGGTGATGAGGGAAAGTTTAAGGACTGTGAGTACTGTAAGTGTAATATGCCTCCAAGTGAACGTGCTGTGGTGATGAAGGGGACACTCACACTGGTGCTGATTGGTGGAGACACCAGGGGACATTTCTCATTGGTCGAGCCAAACGGACTGGAAGCTCCGCTGGATGGAGAGGAGTTCACCCTGCTTAAAAACGGGAGATAATATACTGTAAATATGTATTTATAGTTTCTAAATGAATTAGAAATATTATTTTAAGCTTGATATAGATTATATACTTTTTTATATCCTATTCCTATTTGACATATACACCTAAAACCACTTACTTATGACATCTTTAACACATTTCTCCATAAGGCCTACAAGATAGTGAGGCAGTCCTACGGTGATGACACATGCGCTGAATTTAAGGTAATTTACATTCTTTTTAAGTGAATTTTGTGTTGGCATTATTCAGATATTATTGCTGATATCTAATGTTTAGATGTTTGCTAATGAATAAAATCCCTGAACGTCGCAAGTTACAATCACTGCAATAGGTCACATTGATGATTTCACATGTTACATTTGTAAAGATGTTTCTGCATTAGCTTGTGATGTGTTGCATGTGTTTTGACTCTCAGGACCGTCTATTTCCATAACATTTGTGTACATATGGACACACAATGCACCTGTATGAGTCGATGAGTTCATTTGCAATTTGGGTCCCTATGCTGCCTGCGTAGATCATCGTGCCCACACCATTGGAAAGGCTGGGAATTATGGGTATTTGCTTCGTCTCCTCCTCTGAAGAAGAAAAGAGTAAAACCAAACTTTATTAAAAATCATACAAAAAGAAATAACAGCCTTTGTGAATCCTCAGAATACACTGTATTTATTACCTTGCATAGCTTTCAGACGGCCTGCCTCCTCATCTCTCATGTGACCGGGCCCCCTGCTGGTGCAAAAGAGTATTTATGCTGTTACACCCAAGAATAAAGCTGTTCTGGCATCATGATGAGTGCGTCAAAGAAGTAGATTGTATCAGGATTAAAACCCAAATTGTTGTTAACACTTATCTTCATAAATGTATCATTACTTACGACATAACCCTGTTTGAAGACACGATAAACTCAACTTCTTTCGTCCATGGGTTTGTGAAACTAAACCACTGACTCTGGAGGGAAACATAGGAGCCGTATTTCGTTTTGAACTTGTAGCACTGCGTCTCAATCTTCTCTTTGCTTCGAAGAACTGCCAAGAGATTGGACACAAGTTGGTCAATTATCTTGAACGTCTGCACGACAACACATTTTCCAATTTTTCCAATAGAATCAGATGAACTGTGTTGCTTTGCTTCATCACCTTGCCTGTGTTTCTCTGCGAGGTGATGCAGGTCGTCCTGGTGGAAGTACTCGTAACACGACGTGCCGAGAACTTCCTGCGGCAGATAACCGATGACTGTGGTGGCTCTGGGACAGAGAGAGGACACAGGGGGACATCAGTACTCTGACTTTCCATATCTCTCAGGATTGTGATGCTTCAAAAACAGTGCGAGTGAAAATGGGAAGTGAATAGAAATGAGCCTCTACAAATGTCGAATCGGGTCACTCACTGTTGTTCTACAAACGTGAACTTCCCGTCGATGGCACAGCGGGTAACGAACGCAGAGGGCTTGGCGTTGATGTGTTTGGGAGGCTGGGGGGAGCCGTGGGGGAGGGGCCGGCACAGCATCACCAGGCAGCTCAGGCTGGTGGTCTCCTTCTCAGCGTCCCCCTCTGAATCCAGCTGGCTGCTCGGACAGCTCCGCATGTATCCAGTGCAGTGCAGGGTGCAGTATCTGGAGGTGTCTGGGGGTACAAAAGTCATTAAATATGTTAAAAAGGTGGGATTATTGCCTGTGAAAATGGGTATTTTTCTTTCCTTTAAAAAGACAAAATGTTCTTTACTTTCTTTACTTAATCTGCTGAAAGTGCCATGTCTGCAAAAAAAACAATAAAAAGATTTTGAAAAAAAAGGATTTAGGACAATTTATGATAGGTCTGGTTTAAACCCTGATGGCTGGATTCCGGTCTGAACCCACCTTTCTTTTTAGCAGTACAGGGCAGCAGGTGCTTTTCCTCCAGCTTCCCCGCCACCCGGCTGTGCTTCATCCGGCAGAAGAAGGATCTCCAAGCTCCAGAGGACAAGTGGGTCGGCCTGACGGGGGCATCCGTCTGGACCTGAACCCCAGCTGCGCACACAGAGACATATTTCCCTTTGACATTATGTCTCTGTAACCGTGATCGTGACTTGGATGGAGATTTCACAGTTTCTTAGACGTTACAGGGCAAACAGACTTACTGGCAGCATCGATCATGTGTTCCTGTGGATACTCCCATGATGACAGCTGTTCCTTCACCTTGTTGATGTCTTTGGGATGAATGAAATCAAACAAGCTCTGCCCAGTCAGCTCCAACTGTGAACCCAATACATTGAGATTTTGTTGTAGTTAAGCTTGTTTTTTCCTGTCTCTTTGTAGTGATTTTCTATCTCTGTATCTTTGTAGGACATCTGCTACCAGTTTAGTTTTTGTTGCATTTTCAGTTTGATTATGTATCCTGATGCAACTCCTTATCTGCATTCTTTGTTTATGATCCGTATCAAAGCTAAACATGTGGTGAGCAGGTGTGGCTATTGTTCTGGCTGCCAAACGGAATATAAAAAAAGGAAAAGGAGCTCAGAGGTTGGTGGCCTTAATTGGCTTTGAATATTTAAAGTTTCAGTAAGTCTTTATTAGAGCTTCAACACAGTGTGTCATGTGCTTTAGTTTGCACACATAACATGTACAGACACACAATATTATGTTTTAACAAAAATCTACTTAGAACAACCTTTCATTAAAAATAACTCAAGCTTTTACTCTTCTTTTGGTACCACTTTACAATAAGACTACCCTTATAAAGGGTTTACAAATCGTTTATTAATTAGGTTGTGAACACTTTATAAATCATTAATAAGCTTTTATAAGACATGAGATAAACAGGGCAACTGTGACCGGTTGCTTGCCAAATAGTGAGCCCACATTTATCTGTACTGCTAAGCCTTATTAGAAAAGGTGGTAACTCATTAATAAATGGGAATGTGTTTTACACTTTACAACAAGGCTCCCTTTTGGCAGTTATAAATGTTAGTAACTCATTAATAAATGGGAATGTGTTTTACACTTTACAATAAGGCTCCCTTTTGGCAGTTATAAATGTTAGTAACTCATTAATACATGGGAATGTGTTTTACACTTTACAATAAGGCTCCCTTTTGGCAGTTATAAATGTTAGTAACTCATAAATAAATGGGAATGTGTTTTACACTTTACAACAAGGCTCCCTTTTGGCAGTTATAAATGTTAGTAACTCATAAATAAATGGTCATAAAGAGATGCCAAGAAACATCAAGATGGATGGTGGGAGATTCAACTCGGTGAACAACAGATACCAAGGATGTTAGCTGATGAAGAAGACGAAGTAAGCTAGTGCCAATATAAGGCTTAGTCATCTTGCCAAATAGTGAGCCTGTGTTGATGTATGTTGTTAGAACTGGTTTATAAATGGTTCTTAATGATTAATAAAGTGTTCACAACCTAATTAATAACCTAATTATAAACCATTTATGAATCCTTTATAAGGGTAGTCTTATTGTAAAGTGGTACCCTTTTTTTTTTTACCATATGATTCAAGTCAAATGACATATATGTATTTATAGCTCATCATGTTGAAGTGCGACATACCAGGCTGAAGTTGAGGATCTTGGAGACAGACTCGGAGATGAAGAGGATTTTAGCCCGGTCACAGCTTACTACTAACATGAAGCCGTCCGCAGCCTGCTAGAAAGAAAGATAGAGATATTTCACAGATAGATAGGTTTGGTCTCCATCAGCATGTTATGTTGAAATCTTTCTAAACTGTTTTCTGTGGGTCCGCGAGGATCTACCCTGAGCAGAAGTTGCCTGAGGTCGTCCTGGGGCAGGATGGAGGGCATGTTGGTCGAGTCTGCAAATGCGCTGCTGGTCCCGACTGAAAACACACCAGAGACTCACTTTGAGATGGAGGGTAACACAGGCCACTGATATTTAAAATGCCCAGGCTGGTTCAGAGTTACCTTTGAGGGCTTTCAGATGTTGCACAGCTTTCCGCAGCACAGTCAGTTTGTCCGGCTTCTGCGCCATTGGCTGACAGGCGGGGATCATGGCCGACAGCTCGTCTATCAGGTTGTTCATTTTGTCCCTACGCCGCTTCTCTATCTGCCGGTGAGGTTCCCTGTAGGAACAGTCACAAATCAGTCATTTGTACCAACTGGATCCATTTTGGCGGGAAATATATACTTCAAAGTGTAATTATATTATGGTTTCAATTATCAGCTTTGTTTTATGTATGTAGTTTTGTTTTATGTATGTTTTGTGTGTGTGAGGACCCCAGGAAGAATAGCCAATGCTCATGCTAGTGCTAATGGGGATCCTAATAAAGAACAAAAGAACAAGCTCTTACATTACACTGTAAATAACACCAATCCAAACCACAAAATACTTTTGCAAAGAGTCATTTGATGTAAAAATAGAAATACCTGAAGCATCTTATTTTGACTTGCTGATCCTCTTCTTCAGATCTGCAATTAAAGGGATGAAAAATCAAACTCTTAGCCAGTTTTCTCTTTTCAAATGTGTGTGAAGAATGCCAGGAAGCTTGTTTACCTGCTGAGGTCATCTTCCATCTTACAGTCCATGCTAAGCCTGCAAGATAGGACATAATGTGGGTTATTTTATACCAGGAAGGAGTACTTATGATTACATATCAACATGCGGACCTGACCTCTCCTCCATATCTCCCTTCCGTTTCCTTGGCAGCTCGACGGCGGGCAGCGAGGAGCCGGCACGGCCCTCCTCTGCAGAGACATCTGAAATATGAAGACAGGCAACTTAGTCAGGAGACACTGAAACAACAACCTTCACGCAGCGTCCACACGGCAGCGTGCGTTGAAGCTTGCCGGTGGGCGTGTCTGAAACTCGACCAACAACCAATCACATGAATCTCTCGACCCCGGATACACAAGCACGCGGTTTGATTGGCTAGAGCTTGTACTGGCATATGATTTGATTGGCTGACGCTTCCGTCGAAGCTTCAAAAGTTGAACTTTTCTCAACTTTTGAAGCGAGCAACGCGAAGCGACGGAACCACAAAGCAGTTCGGCAAAGCGTGACGTCACCCCATTAAAAGTGAATGGGAAGAAGCGTTGAAGCTTCAACGCGCGCCGCCGTGTGGACGGGCCGTCAGAGCTTAGTGGCAAAAGCTTAACAAAGACTATTTTTGTTAATCACCATTAACTCTTTTATTTGTTGGGTAGGGAATAAAAAGAGCTCATCAGGATTAGTTAACCTGGTTTTATTAAGTAGCAAATGCTTTGAACAAAGTAATGTCTTTGCTACTTTAATAAAAAGTATTTGTCTCTGCTTTTATAGATTCTAGATATCTTTGTTTTAGGCTCACTATATTATTGACAATGTGTACAAGTCTGTTTGTGCATTCTCGATATTAATGTTTGTCATATTTTGCAACTGAAGATATTGTAGCACTTTTTTACAACCTGAAAAGATCCATCAATATTTGAGACCTTTTTAGTCCTCAAATCCAAACTTTTTTGTGAGCTAACATTAGGATGACTCATCAAAGTGTTTGCAGTGGTTCGTGGTAATTATTTTTAAAAGGCTGATATCATACTCAGGAATGATTGTCTGACTGTGGGAGATCTTTAAAGCCTGCTCCCTCACACACACACAAAAACACTCACACGCAGCTATGCTCGAGTTTAAAGTTTAACAGGCACTTGAGCTGAATGGGATCTGGGCTCTAGTCTTACCTAACGTTTATATAATGCTGTAACACTGGCCTTCTTCCCTCTCCGGACAAGTTTACTTTACAATGTGACATTTGTCTCGGAAAAGAGACGAATGGGGGGCGAGATTTTCAGAAACAACATTTGTTTGCACATTTTTCAATTCTTACATTTACATATAGCATGTGTATTTTTTAAATGATAATATAAAAAAATATGTTTTTACATAATTGTGAAATACACTTTGATTATAGTATTGACAAGGATACCAAAGAAAATCAAAGTGATGTGTAACACTTGAAGTTAACATACAAGTATCCTATCTTACAAGTATCCTATCCTAATAAATGTTCTGTGTAATAACATTTCATTCAGATAATATTGCAAGACAGACAACTTTTTGTTTAGCTAGTTTATATTTGTTTTCTCTTATTGATGCAGATCATGATGCAGTCTAGTGATCTACTGACCCACTTTGGGCAGCAGCTGAGAGGAGCCTCGTGAAACCACGTGACATGCTAAGCTCCTATAAAAACAGTGGCAGGTTTAGGGACAAATGGCAGTAGTATAATGAGTTTTGACTTTATTAAAGAAATGGGTAAAAGTTAGCTTTGACATGATTACACACTGAGCCCTCACGAATCGACACAAAACACGGCCCTTCACTGGGGGCGAGTCGGTGTTTTGGCCACAGCCAGGCTGAGGCTACTCAACCATAATAACGTCAGGTCCACTAATGTCAACATAAGTTATCAACACATTGCATTCATACTCTTAACAACCGGCTTTCTGTCAGCCATTAAACTAACTTTACAGCCGAGCAGTCGCATGAACTGGAGTTCAGAAGACTCTGGAAGTAGTAGTAGTAGTAGTAGTAGCCTAGTAGCCTAGTTAGTAGTAGTAGTAGTTAGTAGTCGTAGTCTGTTTTGGTTTATTCTTCTAGCCAAAGAGCTACAAAAAGCCTCCCTCAGTCACAGTTAAGAAGCAGACTCCCTTAACGCAGCAGTAGTCGGTTCTGTCCCGGGGCTCCTACCTGCTCGCCGGTCCGCCGCCCCGTCGCAGCCGCCGGCCGACATGCCGCAGACTGAAGCCGGTGTGCCCAGTGCGCCCGGTGGAGGCTGCGGCCGCATGCAGAGTCACCGGCTGTAGTAGTTACAGTGGAGAGGTGGAAGTCGTTTTTATAATTCACTTCATTTTTCTCCTCCCCTCGCCTGTAAGGGAGGTGGGGGCAGAAACGTGAGCGATACTGGTCTTCACGGAAACACGGAACAGCCCTCACTTGTCCACCTGGGTTCACTGCATAGGGGAGCCTCCATATTAATTTCACCGTGAAGCAGCAACTTGGACCTGAATATGATGGTATGGAGTTGGGTGAGATGGAATATTGTGTGCCACATAAGAAAATGTTCTGCTACTAAATTGTCTTCGCATACTTTTTAACGAGTTTTTTTATTTGACTTAAAGGTAGGTAGGTAAGAATGGAGAAACCAGCTCGAGTGTGCTAGAATTTGAAAGTACGCAGCCGAAAAAAATCTGCACCTTCCTTCAGACTTCCTCCAAGCCCCACCTCCAACACACACGAACGCGTACATGACAGTTTGTGCACAGATGGAAGGCTGACAGGCAGGTAGGCCATCCAGTTATTTTAGCCGGGCCGGTGAAAATAATTGGTCTAGCTTTTTACAGCGCCATGGCTTCCACAGATGACATTTTCGTATGTATTTATTGTCAAAGCATTTGATATATTCATTGCTATCGGGATGTTAAGAGCATTCCATGGAATATAACAATAAGTGTTTCTGAAGTGAATTACCTACCCCACTTATGCATACTAACAAACAGGTGAATATGTACGTTTTTTGCATTTTGGCTACAGGGAACACTTTGTTCTACCAGTTTGTATCACATATGATAATTGTCAGTGGATGGGCAAACAGCAGTGCAGTGACGACGATGGTTAAATCGCATTTATCCATCGGGCAGTTTGATGTCCAGACAAATTGCAAAGACCCCCTAAAACAGCAGTGACAGGTAGGAGGTCTCACTCTGCCCTCATTTCAGGTAGACACAATTTAAAAAAAAAAGAAGAAGAAGTGCAGGATCATATTTTGGGAAGTCTGTAACAATATATGTGAAAAGGGAATAAAAGAAAGAAGTACACAGTGCAGTTTATATTTATTAATGGTGTCCTCCTTTCCCTGAAAAAAAACACTCAGTGACGCATCACTTGAAGTTGACGATCTTTGGCCCTCACCTACATAAATGTAATTCAAGGCATTTGCACGAGACTTTACATAAGACAGAAGGCTACGTGCCATCTAGAAACGTGTTGACCTATATATTATATAATGCGATGGACACGTGCCCACGGTTCGCTCTTTGACCCGTTTTTAAAGACCCGTATGATGTTTATTATACATCCATGGTCCCCGGTCACCGTGCACATTACCGAGCCGGAAACACCGCGAACCCCCTCCAAGATTGAAATAAATGTCGGTTAATTTAATGTCATTTTTTACAAATAAATCTTGGAGAGCTGTGAGTCCTGATCTGCAGGAGAGCTCCCTCTAGTGTTCTCAGTGCTAACCCCATTTATCTCTTACTCATCTATTCCAATTATTCTTTCCATATTTGCCTTTTTATTTAATCAACAGTGCAGAGATATAGAGAAAACAAAGATGAAAGACCTGCTCCCCTTCCCCCCAAAAACTAAGAAACCAAGACGACTGAAATATTTAATATATTAATGAACATTTCCTTAATTCCACAGATAGTTTCCTTCAAGTGTCTACAACAGTATGCACACAGCATTACACAAAATACCTCTCACAACATGGTCCTGGCCTAAGGAGGGGTTAGACTGGCAGGGGATATATTATTATAATATTTAATTGCTTAACGTGTGATAAAAGTGAAATGTTCTTGTACTCAATTCATTATAATTTAGCTCCCATTGAAGAAAAATGACACAATGGATTTCAAGTCATTTTGAACGTTTATAGAATTGCATGAATGCCAAATGCAGTATTCTTTTTATCTACTTTTGAAAAAAAAAAGTAATAATTTCTCTATTGCAACACAGGACATGAGTTTGACATTGAACTAAGTTACACATCACCTCACAACAAATAGCACGACTTTATGTCATTCATGAAAATGTCCCAAACAGTCACAGTTTCTCATGTAACTGTTTGGTTTTCAATACAGCATTTTGTATCAGTGCTTTACAGTGATACAAGTTAACCATAGACTGTATATAGAGTGGCGAAGTCCCTCCCCTTCCGGTGGACCTCCATGGGACCTTATTTCGGAAAAATTATGTATTGAAGTCAATGGAGAGAGAAAGATTATCTTTCGATCCCGTTTGAATTGTGCCACGAATTACACATATGATGTTTGTCAATTTAAAAGATAATTTTGCAAGTAAAAAAAAAAAAATGTGTCATAAAACTGTGAAGTAACACATTTGTTTGTGTGAAACGCTCAATGAACTACATCTCTGGTCAACAACACACGTCACCAAGATGGCCGTCACTACTGTCTTGTCAACAAAACGATTGACTATCCTCACTATCACCACAATGAAACACGTCCTGAAGAATGTCATGCAAAGCTGCCTGCCTGCCTGCCTTCCTTTGATTCTCTCTGAACTGCCTGGTCGTTTTAATGTTTAATGTCAACCATTTGTGCAGATAGCATGAAGTAGAGAAGATCGCTAGCGTTAGCGTTAGCATTTCTCCCCCGGGCTTAAATTGTGTATTATAGAATAATCACACCGGTGACAGTACTCTTCAAAGGGTTCACGAAATATGACTACTACTCTTACTGTTTAACATTTTGGGTTACTTCATGTTACTTCATGTTAAGGCTAATAAAAATGACAAGGCTGTAATGCTAACTAACGTGCTAGCTACTAGCTAGCATGATCCAGAGTACTCCTGGTCCTTTCATCAGACGGGAAGCGAAAGAACGAGCAAGACCCATTGCTGGTATAATAACAACCTGGTACTAAGCACACAGGCATCTTGTTAAAGTTATCTTATCTTAGCCAGCGCCATATAGATAGATTATATCTATATGGCGCTGATCTTAGATCTTAGTGGAGGAAAACAATTGTGACATCACTTACGCGACTCTGGGATTTGTAGTCTTTCTAGTTACGTATTTTTCATAGTCTTATATTTCAACAGTTTTACGACAAACTGTGACTTTTTTGACATGGAAATTATTTTTTAAGATTGACAAACATCATATGTGTAATTCGTGGCACAATTCAAACGCGATCGAAAGATACGTTTTCTCTCTCCATTGACTTCAATACATTATTTTTCCGAAATAAGGTCCCATGGGGCGGAAGTAGATGGGCGTGACTTTGCCACTCTATATAAAGGATACAACCAATAGACATACCCGCCAATCAGCAGCAGCCATCAACAAAATCCCCCATCATGCATCTGTCCTAGTCTTAGCATTGATTTGAATAGATGCTGCAGAATCGAGTCCTGAAACCCAGAATTTATTAAACTTCACTTTCTTAACACAAACTTAAGAGACTAACCTTTCTAACCTCAACATAAATACATAACGACACCCCCCACTGTTGAATTTGTAAGCTTCCAAGTGTCCTAATAAGACTACTAAACATCATCACGCTGAACATTAGCCACCTTTAGCTTAGGTGGTGACATAGTCAAGTGACAATGCTGTAGTTCCTTCATAGCCTAATGTTAGCTTATTACTCCAAAAAGGTAGTGTTTATGTAAAGATTATGTGTAAGTATCATACACTTTAGAGATTATTTTATGTAATGGTACAGAATCTAATGGAAATAACCCATTAGCTTTTGTCACGGGAATCAGGGCGATGCTAACTTTAGGGTAACTGTGGGTTGGACTACAGAATGACATCATCACTGCAGCATGGTATTTGGGTTACAATGATACTTTTGGATTTGTATTATGGCAGATTGTTTAAGTTTGTGTTTCTTGACATTTTCTGTTTGTAATTAAAGGGGCACTCGACGGATTTTCCATCAAAACAGTTCAATTAATTCTTCTGTATAATAAAAGCTGCTATCAAGTTGCATTATGGGAAGTGTAGGAACTTTTTTTGAAACGTCTCCACGCTGCAACAATTGTATACCATTTTTACAATTGTAAAGTTCCCCCATTTTAGGGTGATATAGAAATCATCCAATTTAAATACACTGAATATTAACACATCTCATTTTAAACAAACATAAAACATTATAAATAATTAAGATTTAACACATTGGCCATTCCTAATTTGCACACTGCTTATGTTGTTTCTACTAGCGACAATGCAGCTCTAAATCTTTATTATGGGTTATTGGCTATTTGTAACCGGACTACCTGGATAAATGAGTTAAACATAACAAATAATATCAACAGACGGTGTTATCACACACTCCTCTAATCTATCAGACTGAAAAACCACTTACTTTCTCTATCAATTCCTCAGAAATAGCACCACGATCGGTTCAGTACGGGAGCCCTGTGGTGTCTACAGTCTATATTTCCTGTCCCTGTATGTACATTAATAGCTATTGACACTCTGCTCACTCATCTTTCTACAGTGTAGAAATAGTAATGGCAATTTATTCCATCCCCAAGTGTAGCACTCTTGGAAAGGTGTTCTCGTTTTAAAAGGTAGTGTAAGTTAAGTGCAATAAGCCACAGCTACATGTGAATAGTTATTTGGTAACTATTTTTAGCGCTGTGAGTAAGACATGCCTGACATTAAGCTTTTAGGGCGCGGGGGAAAAGGTAACATTAAATACAGTAATTGGATACTTTATTCAAAATTAACAAAGTATACTTGTCTAAGATACCCACCAATATTCTAATTTAGTTTCTCAGAGGTGCACTGTTTTTATGAGCCCCTTGTTTACTCATATAACCAATACAAGTCTTTCTATACAGGCCCTTTTTCAAATGTTCCTCCCCTTTTAATAGCTTCATTAGTTTATAATACTAGTTCATACCTTCTGATTCATCTATGATAACATTGCAAGACATCTGGTTAAATATTTATCAGCTTTTTAAAAAGGCACTTTGCACGTTTTGCCATCTGAGAGGTAAGTTATTAGAATTAAATCTGGGGAAGTAATCATTAGCGTTAGACCTGATCTGAAAAACAACACAGCTGACACACTCTGCACTTAGATTGGCATGTATATGATTCAATCAGCATGACGGATCCAGCAGGGTTTTAACTTTAATTGAACTCCCTCATTCGTTTATATTTTCTATCCCTTCAATTTGGGATAGTATTTTGCTAAGTAGCACTACCAGGATCAGCAGAAGTTGTCTCACATGATGCTGCGGTTTCCGAAGCTTTTCTCCCAAAACATGATGCTTCCGACAGTCAGTAAATCTTTTTTTTACACTTTTTAAAAATAGATGATATCTGTTTTAGTTTGAGTAACTCTGAAATATGAAGCAGAGTGAGCCAAATATCTAGAAATCGTCCTACAACTTTCGTTTAAAATCCACAGACAGGAAGTGAAGGGGGCCTGTTTTAGTAGAGTCTTCAGTATGATACATTACGTTTGCATCAGAGCTAATTTAGACACCAGTGTAGAAACTGTGCAAATGATTTGTACTCAATCCTCATTCCCAATATTCCCTTTTGGCAGTAAGTCGCCTCTCCAGAAGCAATATGCTGCAGGTACATGCAGGGACGCTGATTTTAAAGTCCTAGTTATGGAGCTGGCCTGAGAGCTATGGCTAAAGACGGCACGTGTATACGATATATAAACAACCGAGGTAATGCGGTAACGCTCCTTCGTTTCCGAGCTCTTGTCGTTCTTGAAGCAGACCTAAATAAGTTGTGATAAGGGTTAAATGTATTCTGAGAGGCCAAGAGCCTTCAGCAGCAGCGGGGCTCCGGGGCCCGACCCTGTGTCCGTAAACGTCTGTTCCTGCTCCACAGCTCTGTCAGGCCTTCCCTGCCTTCATGTATGTGGGGATGGTGCCTCGCTGAGTCAGACCCTCGAAGCGCTTGTATGTGTAGTTCAGGAACACCCAATCCTTCGACTTAAAGTCCGGCTCCGTTGCATTAGCTGTCAATCAACACATGACAAAAGCAGGCGTTATTATGGCGTCAAAATGAAGGTATCATGGCCAACACAGATTATATAATGTAAATGAAAAGGCATGTTAAAGCTATTACAATAATAATAAGAAAAATCATTGTTTCAATCATCTGGCATTACTCATCTATGGCCTTCCTCTGTCTGAATGTGACTCTAGGCTTATGTTCCGCAATAATATATCTCAATGCAAGCAGAATATTTTATAAGACTAACCCGGCTGAAGGATGTCCGATTCAGGGAAGTCGTCAAAGTTCGAAGTGTCGTCGATGCTCTTGATTTCAATGGAGATGGCTGCTGGCCGCTCCCTGAGGAGGCAACAGGAAGAGGAAGAACACATACAGTTTTAAATCATACACATTCGAACACTCTGAATTTTCCTGAAACTGCTTTGTGCATTAGCAGTATTATCTATCATGCAAGAAGAGTCTTTTTCCAGACTATATAATATTGCTGGTTTCATCTGTGTTATGCACGGTATTCTCTGCTGACTTCATGGCTCTTAACTGGCCAAAAGGGGCCACAAGTGATCAACAACCGCTTCAGTCTGTGCGTGAGACGTTTGAGCGTTGAAGCTCTTGTAACTGCTTGTGTTTTTGAAACAGCTGGTAAGCTTTTCTTAAAATGCAGTTTTTCCCTGGGTTATTTCATATTTGTTCTACTTCCTTTGTCCTCTGGAGTTCTGGGAAATGTTCCAGCATGTTCCTGTATCCCTGTTGATTGTCTGAGTCTGTATTGTCTAACTCTTATCCTAATGTGTAAAGCTTTTCGAAAAGTGGTATAGCCTACAAATAAAGTTGTATTTATAGTTTTAGTTTTTGCCCCCAGAATCAGTGTACATTTATGAATGTGTCAACCATATGCATCAGGTTTGGTGGGAAAATCCATGAGGAAAGACTACAGAAATCAAAGGAAAACTGCACAGAAAGTTTTGCTATACTTCTCATCTGTTCAACGTGTGTAGGATGTTTTTTTTGTGAAAGTGTTTATGTACCTGATGTGCTCCCAGTCCACCGACTCAAAGAACTGATGACTTTTGATCTCCTCCACACTCACAGCTCCAACCCTGTTTTCAGGATCAGTGCAATACCTGTAACACACAAGGAGCACACTGATGATGTCACAGCATCTGGGTCATTTTGCTCTGTCCAGACTGCTGTCTGATGTGGCCTTCATGTGAGTGAATACAAATATATCTTTACTTACTTTAATATCAAGTCTTTGGCCCTCTCGGAGATGGGGACTTCAGGCGGGAAGACGAGCGTTTCCTTCCAGTTCATCACCTTCCTGTACGTCTCCTGCGGCGTCTCAGAGCAGAAGGGGGGGTAACCTGAACACAACAATTAGAACAATTTAAATATAAAATGCTGCTGATAGAGCAATACCAGCTGCAGAAGACACCTAATAACAGCACGTTTATCCATGTGTCAATCTACAGAGCAACTGGTAAAATATTTGTAAAAATACTTTGCAAATGTGTGCAAGTGTGGCCTGTACAGTGTGCTAAATATCTGTAAACTCATCTACACAATTGTGCAAAACATCTGTGATTTTCTTTTCCAAATGAATTTTATTTCACCACACAGGAAAAAGCATGCTTACCGATGAGCATTTCGTACATGATGACCCCCAGAGACCACCAGTCACACAGCTTGTTGTATCCCGTCTGCAGGAATACCTCCGGGGCAATGTAGTCTGGTGTTCCCACGGTAGAATAAGCCTGAAAGTCACACAGAAACAAAGAAGGGTTGGCATTTGTTTTAAAAATGATCAAAAACAAGATGGTAATACTGGACAGTCAAAGATGTTCCATACAGCCAAGGCAAGCTAGATTTAAAACTGGTTTAACTCATAATTTTTAAATATATTTGACCAATTATTTTCAAATGCAAGGTCAGATCATCAACTCCTTCTCATTGCTTAAAGGTCCCATGTCATGCTTTTCCGGTTATTACCCGTCCCCTTGTGTGTTATGAAGGTTTTTATGTATGTAAAAGGTCTGCAAAGTCACAAACCCTCAAAGTACACCCTGTAGCGAGTAAAACTCTAACACAGAAAATACCTGTCCCAGAACACCTCGTTGGAGATTTTCCTTTTCAATTTTTTTCTTCCTGGAACTAAGTGACGTAACGACGACCCCTCCGTGGATTGGTCAAAATGGACCAATCCGTGGAGCCATTACGTTACGTCCGCGGAGCCGTTACGTTAAGTCCGCGGATTGGTCCAAATTGACCAATCCGCGGACTTCCTCACACACACTCAATCTCAAACTCCCAGCCAGGCTGCGGGTGTGTGTGTGTGTTCGGGCTGGGTTTCGCTGTGTCTCGCAGACGGCCACTGGGCTCATAGAGAGGGGGGGCAGGAGCTCCAACAAGCCGTTTAGGACAGAGAGTGAATACACATACTATACAGAGATGCTGTATGAGAAACCAATGAGATTTTGGAACATTGCACAGTATAAATCTATTTGAGTATACCTCAACAATGGAATTATGATCAGTAGAAATGGCCATGACATGGGACCTTTAACATTTCTAAGACTTTTAAAGATTCTTAGCCATAATTTTGAGGCTACTGTGCACATTTCTGCAGAAACCATGAAGCAACATCTGTGATTTTTTTTTCTCTTTCTGCATGTTGCATCAGGTAAGTGCACAATTCCTTCTTCCTTATGCTGTGTCTCAATTCAAACACTTCTGTATTTACGAAGAAAGGTAAAATAGGCTATGAGCACGTGCTTGTTTCATTCAGTAAAATGCCAAAGTCTTACCAGCTGCCTCCGGTTCTTCTTCCAGGTTTCTGCTTTCCTCTTGGAGTTCATATTTTGAAAGGCTGCAAAAAGGTGAAGAGATGAAAAGTGATTATGTATTCAGTTACATGTTGTGGACTAAAGCAGTCTCTTTCTTGGGTCCACTTTTGATCTGGTTTCTATATTGTTTGGCTTTTATTGTGAAAATCAAATTTGTGACTCACAGAAATCGCTGGGCGGGTTGTGCGTCAGGTTCCTGTAGAATTCAGTGCGATGAGCCTTCTTCAGTCCCGTACACAGGCCAAAATCTGACAGCTTCACGTGTCCCTGTGAGAAAATACACCTTTGAGAAGTGTGTGTGTGTGTGTGTGTGTGTGTGTGTGTGTGTGTGTGTGTGTGTGTGTGTGTGTGTGTGTGTGTGTGTGTGTGTGTGTGTGTGTGTGTGTGTGTGTGTGTGTGTGTGTGTGTGTGTGTGTGTGTGTGTGTGTGTGTGTGTGTGTGTGTGTGTGTGTGTGTGTGTGTGTGTGTGTGTGTGTGTGTGTGTGTGTGTGTGTGTGTGTGTGTGTGTGTGTGTGTGTGTGTGTGTGTGTGTGTGTGTGTGTGTGTGTGTGTGTGTGTGTGTGTGTGTGCCTGCCTCACCCTGGAGTCCAGCAGCAGGTTGTCTGGTTTGATGTCTCTGTGGATGAAGCCCAGCTGGTGGATGGAGTCGATGGCCAGAACCGTCTCTGCGATGTAGAACTGTGTGGCCTCTTCAGACAGAGTGTCCTTCTTCATCAGCAGGGTCATCATGTCGCCTGGCAGCAAGGTCAGAGGTCACAACTACATTATAATACACAACATGTCTGTCTGGCTCATGTCTAACACAGAGTTATGTCACAGAGTAGCTGTATACTGTAATGTATCCAGTTTAATAAATGTCATAAACCCATCTACCCGTTTTCCAGTCTGCCCCTACAATTTAACTGTCAAATAAAGTTGAAAAAAATAAGAAATAAATACGAGAAAACACAACATAGAAGAGTGAACGTGCTAAGAAGAACATAATAGCGAGGGAAAAACAAACCAATCTTTTATTTACGATGAGGAACTTTCATTTGTTGATTTTTTTTTAAAGCAGTACCGTCTCAGTCCCTTTGGTCTCACTGTTCTTGTGATCCTGGAAGATTTTATTTTATCAGACCAAATGGCAACTAGCATAACTAAAAATAAATTAATGTTCATGCTGGAGGTCTCTTTTGATATGTAGGTCATAAGAGGCATTATATATAATATAAGTTCCCTGTAGTAACTCTGAGTGCAAACCTCCAGGAAGGAACTCCATGATGAGGTAGAGGTTCCTCTTGTCCTGGAAGCTGTAGAACATCTTTACCACCCAGGCTCCGTCAGCCTCCACCAGAATATCCCGCTCTGCCCGGATATGAGCGACCTGCAGAGAGACAGCAACGTAACACACCGAAAACAAAATATAAAGACATATAAAGTATGTTTAAGGATTATCAAGAACTGCGGTGCTGACAAACACTTCACCTGTTCTTTTTCCAGCATGTCTGCTTTTCTCAAAATCTTCATGGCGTAAATGTGCCCCGTGTCTTTTTTCTGCACCAAACGGACCTGAAGGAGATGGCAGTAAATTCATCAGAAATGTGAATAAAAATTGGATTATTTTCAAGGTAAATAATAAGGAGGAAAGTTCAAATAGAAAATGTATAAAGTTGTGATAAAAAAAACACAGACGATTGTGCCAAAGTGGACACATACACAATTAAAACTCACAAGGACCTAGGCTTTTTTTTGTATGTACCTCTCCAAAAGCTCCCCGCCCGATAACTTTGAGAGACTCAAAGTCATCCAAGCCGAGTCTCGTCCTCTTCAGTCGCAAGAACTCAGTCTCCTTACGGGCGTGCTGTGAGCGCCGCATTACTTTCTGCACGAAAAAGACACAAAGATTGTGAGAGAATACATTTTAAAAGAATTCTGTGACATGTTGAGGTCTGTAGGCGAGAAAACAAATCGTACTGTACCTCCTCATCTGGCAAACCCTCATCGTCCATGGCCTTCTCCAGCTTCTTCTGCCTATAAAAGGAAAACATGTTTTACAAACAGGGCTGCAAACAGGATCTTGTACATACAGTATTTGTCTTCAGTGATTGTATTAGTATGGTAAATGTATGATTTCCTTGGATCGTTTAATGTCTAAATAGATGCCCTTGTTGATGTTGCAAATGGAGCTACTGTTCTACAACATGTCAGACTTATATAAAGTATAAACTAAAAAAAGTAAGTGTTATTCTATCGTATTGAATTGTACCCATTGTCTTTATAGGTCCTTTTATGCTTTTGGGGGGTGTTCCCTTTCCTGTAGTGTGTTATATAGGATTTTGTGCATGTAAATGGTCTGCAAAGGCTAAAATCCCAAAGTTGTGATTCACCGGATGAATATATTATTATTTGTATTCATTTTTTCTTCTTCTTTGAGCGATTTGGTTTTTAAAAGCCCTAATGCCATAAATATATATTGAAGCAAAGATATTTGGTAAGACAAAAACATATTGTGAGAGACAAGGAGGGATAAGATGGTCAGATGTTCAAAAAAATACTCCTGTGTCAATCACATATTATGCAGAGGTTTAAACGGAAAGTTGCTAAGAACCAAAGCATGTCACCTGGTCTACAGATCAGCTCTCAGGTAATACGAGTTGTGCTCACACCTGAGATGAAGCGCCCTGCATTGTTTCCTTTTCAGCAGATGGAGTGACATTCAATGCTTCAAACAACAGCTACATTTACACGCAGAGAGGAACTGAGGTGAGGGGCTCAGGAAGTATGGTAAAGGTCATACAAGGCAGGTTAGAGCTAACAATTAACGCCAAGAGGAAAAGTGAGTGAGGAAATCTGCAGCAGCTTCACCTCATCTCCCGCTCCTCGTGCTGGGAGAGCAGGGTGCTGTAGAAGTTCTCCAGGGTCAGCTTGGCCACAGTCACCCTCTCCCGGGTGTGGTTGCTCATGGGAAGGGTAGCTGCAGTCTCTCCTGTCATGGCCACACCCTCCTGTGAAACATTAGAAGGAAACAACATCAGTCCAGTGTCTGTTAGTTTCTGGGGTTCATTGTACCATCAATTCAGTCTTTGACAAAATATATTTAACCTACGAGAGAGACAATTAGCCCTGGAGGACTTTAAGCATGTGTCCTATCATTACGGTCAGAGTAGTCCAGAACGGACAACCATCAAAACTAAAAACAATGGTGAAATCAAAGTGGAAATTGTGACTTTTATTATCTATTATGCTCCAAAATGCTGACTACTTCTCTTACTTTATTGCATTTAAAAAGTATCTTTCACTAGACCCGTCTACAACCAGTTATTTTAGGTTTTGAAAAGTGTTAAAACAGATGTTCCATGTATGACAAATTGATTGAGTGCCTTTTTTGAAATATAATGTTAATGAAGTCTCCAAGACTCATGAAAAATTATCTAGTGCTTTACTTTTCCCTTCAGTGTACAAGACAAACAAGTGTGCTCCATGTTTGCATTTCAAAGAGTGCAGCTATGGTCCCTGGTACTGAAATAATATTCTGACCCCAGATCAGAACATGTGCTCGATGCCTCGTGGTCTGCAGGCTTTCATTCCAGGAACTAATCAGTGACATCTCCACAGATCTTTACAAACCAAAGTCACCTGAGGAGGCCCACCAATCATTTGCGTCACAGCAGAACAGCACTTATCAATGCTTGACTTTGTGAATGTATTGGAAATGACTTAAAAACACACACATAGCAGTGAGGTGGAGGACTGCAACAAAAGGGAAAAGAGTTTTGGGACAGGAAGAGGGGGTATGTGTCACCAATACGCCATCAGTCAGTATGAATGGGCCGGATTAGCTCTCACAGAGATTAAACAGCCCAGCAGCTCAGAGATAGGAGCCATGTTTCTTCTAGTCACAGGCCCAACAACCCTGCAACAACAAGACACTTCCGGAATTCTGAGAAAAATCTATGAATCACTCACTGCTGCGAATTGGAAGGTTTAAGTAAAAAAAACAGGACACGAGAAAAAAGGGATCTGAGATACAAAGACCTGTACAGATTTACCTGAGTGCAACACCAGGAAACTCAGTGTAAATGGGGACCCCAGTTAGGACCAACCAAAAAAAGAGAATGTTTAAGTAGTATTAATTCAGTTTTTGTGGTCTCAGATAGACCATGTAAGCCCCATGTGATGTAACTTTTCTGAGAAGATGCACATCAATTATGTAGCTTTACATATTGTGCCGCAACTACAATTCATTGATTTATGTGCTGATTATTTGTATGTCTATAAATGCCAATGTCCATCCTTTGTCTTTAAAAGGAAAGCAGCTAATCTCAATATTGGAGAGGCTGAAAACAGCAGTTTCTGACATGTATGGTTGTTCAAACCCTATATCACTTCCTCTAATATTACACCACGCCACAACTTTACACAGCCCACATCTATACGTCTCAAAGGATTCACCAGATAGGTAACCTCTCTCCATTCATGGAGTTGACATGGTACTTCACATTCAGTCACTTAGTACGCACATTAACTTGTTAAGTGTTTGTACATGTGTTGATTTCTTTTTTTTCAATTGTTTAGAGCTTTTAAATAGTTTGTACTTGGTCTGTAGAGATCGAATGACGGTTAAAGGCTATTAAATCGGAATAACCACTTGTATTGGATAAAACATCTTGTATTTCATCAATGCATTCAATTTAAGTATTATAAAATCCCTCATTCTAATGTCTATCAATTTGCTTCAGGGATATTGAACAATTGAAATCAATTGTGTACATATGAGGTCATGGATGCCTTTTGCTTGTTTCCCCGTCTAAGTGGAAAATGCCTTAAGACTGAGGAATTCAGTTTGGCTCGAGGTGAAACAGATCCTTCCCCTAGCTAAACAAACAACACTACACCATACATGGAAAATAAGCATGCAGCCTAATGAGTGGACAACCTGCCAAAACTGTGATCTACCAATAGAGTTTACAACAAGCTTATAGTGTACATAGTGTTTCTTCATCTAACTGAATATGTGTAAAATGGTGTGTGTATGGAAACACACTCCACCCTTAAAGTACTGTAAGTGGGTGGACAGGAAACCTATCCCACTCTGAATGAAAGGGCTCAGTCATGATGCCAGGGAGAGGAATGGGGCTCACACACACAAAAATAAATTCATTATGCAGAGTCATCTTATATGTCGTATATTTATCCAGTACTTGGCTGATATATACACTTCAGGATATGCTGCAAATTTGGAAATAAATGTCCAAAAGAACAGTATTATCATCATTAAGGCAGCCATAAACAAGCTACACATGCAGTAGGGTCTTCTTGTTAGGACGATTATTGAAATATTGAAATAATAATAATAAAGCTACCAATGACTTTACACTGGAGGAAGTCAAACTACAGCTAAGCTACCAAAGAGACAGATCTAGTTTGTTTAACTAAAGCTACTTCAAACTCTTTTGTAAAAAAAAAAAAAAAGATGAATTGTTAATGTACCTGTGATGGTAAATTATAACAAAGTATAATTGATACAAATGACATACCAGCTAAAAATGTGATTGTTTAAAAAAGTGGCCACAACTCACAGGTTATACATAAACTAAACAAATACCCTACTAAAAAATAATTTAACTTATATTCAGAGAGAATTTGGTGTTTAAAGAGGTTCAATTACAGAAAAAAGCAATAGTAAACAACATGTATTGTAGTTTCAGTAGTCATTAACTACATAAAAAATGCAAAGGGATATTGAACTAACATTTCTTGAGGGACTATGCGAATATGTATTATGCACTATATTAGGCTATGAAACATATTATGTGCTATTACATTTTGTAGTAATTTTAACCAGAGATGGAACAAGTACAAATTATTTGCTTAAGTAAAAGTAGGAATACTACAATAGAAGAAGTACTCAGTTACAAGTAAAAGTCCGTTCTAAATTGTAGTTCAGTAAAAGTAAAAAAGTATTAGCATTAAAAAACTACCAAAAGTAAAAGTACTAGTTGTGAAAAAAAGCCATTTCAAGCACCAGATATGTTTAAATTATTTGTATAAGACTTATTGTTGCATTTATGTCTTCATCACTTCAATGCTGCACTTGGTAAAAGTGGGGTTTATTTGAATGACTTTATACACTATTGTTTAGCTTAACCTATAATAGTATAATATAATGTGTTAAGTAAAGTATAAAGTAGCATAATTTGAAGATACTCAAGTAAAGTACAAGTACCTATAGGTTTTACTTAGGTACAGTACTTGAGTAAATGTAGACTTAGTTACATTACACCACTGATTTTAACTAGGGCTTTTACTACATGTAACGTTGGTTAACTGCTCGCAACACACTCGACATACTACTAGATACTATTCATGTTATATACAGAAATACGACATTTTGTTGCTGTGTTGTGTTAGCTAGCTATTTGTCCGCTATATTATATACAGCATACATATATAGGGAGCATTCTGCGGTAAATGTGTTGACTTACCTCCGTTTCCGGCTCCAGAGTTAACTATCGGCTGGCCGCCACCCCTCGATATAAGAGAAATATAATGTGTATTTTCTGCCTAATATTAGGCTCCAGTTATCCCTCCAGAGGAACTCTCAGCACAGTAAACAACACCGAAATCAACGCCAAATCATAACAGAAATCCTGACGTTGACGGCAAGCTAACCTGACATAATTCTTTACTTTATTTTACTCCATTATTTGTTCCCGCTGACCTCAAAATGCCGTATATTCCCTGTCTTTATCGCTATAAAATAAGGAATAAGCAAAGCTGCTTCCTGGGACCGTTGGTCTCATCCATCAGACGTTCTAGGCACGCAACGGCATACGCAGGCATTTGATTGACGTTGGAAAGAACCTATCACGAATGAGGAAAGAGAAACGTGGTTAACAGTGGCCAATCATTGTGCAATATACTTGAAAGTGACATGTGCTTCAGCCAATGAGAAGATTTAAACCGCCCCTGCAAGGGATGCGTTCATTTGGCTAGCAAACATTTGCATGCAGCTATGAAAGACTGGACTGTAGCCTCAGTAGTTAATTTTATTCATTATGCTTAGCGCAAACCTATAATAAAACATGATATTAAAAGATAATACTGTGTTAGTATCATATTACACAAACATTACTGTCAAATACTAATCAGTTCTTTCACACAAAAATAGGAACTACATGAGGGCAACTAAGGTCAATAAAAGGTCACATTGTGATCAAACCTACAATTTGCAGTTTTTTGATAAAAATAGATATAAGAAGAATCAATAAATCACTAATACAAACATGAAAAGTTATAATCTAAACCACATATTTTATAATATAACTATATGTGCCTTCTGACAATACAGGAGAAGATGAGAGGATAACTTAAAACATAATCGTGTGCCACTGATAAACACACCACAGCTATATTCTGTGAATATTCTAAGAGGAAAAACAAAACTTAAAATATGTTCACTGTTTAAACTCGACACTGCAGATTTAGTCTTCATTCTGTGCAATCTAGAAATTCCACAGGAAACTGACTTGTTTCCTCCAATCAACCAGCAAGGATGCTTAGAAATGCCTTCAATTCGCCAAACGAAATACTAAATAGAACTGAAAACAGAAGATAACACCACCAACAAACTAGTGTTGACCAAAAGATACCTTGGGCTGTTTTCTGTGCCATAAATCTCATTTTTTGGATGGGTTGAGTGCTTTTACTATGAGCCACGATGACATCATGCACAGAGGTGCAGGGTGCACCCTGTTAACACGTCATGATGTGGTGTCCAGCAGACAAGGCCGTTTTGTTTTTTTCTCGCATCAATGGAGCCCACTGAGCTGCTAAACAGCAACTATATTTAGATTTGGGTTATAGACTTTCTGGCCTGCAGCCCAAGCTTTATAAAGTTCAGTCTGAAATAAATCAAGGGAATAAATGTTCTCACTTCTCATACTGAATCTTGAATTGTTTTCAGCAGCCCTATTCCCCATTAAAGCCCTCAGCAGCTCATTTTTCCCCCCATGCTATTTTTTACCAACTTATGACATACTGAAATGTCATGAAATAGACTAAAAACAGACGTTAGTTCCTCAAAAATGTTTTTCCAAGCTTTATTAAAAAAAACAACACTTCAGATTTACAATGAGCTGAGAGGGTTTGTTAGTTGCAAAGTGTCCAGGTTTTTCAATACAGATAAGAATATAATTTCATTCATAAATATACAAAACAGACTTAACCAATGTACAACATAAAAAACATGACAGGGTGGCCATTTGGACCATACACAAGTATCTTGGCACCAGCAGTAAGGTCCATATATGAAACAGTGAGTATGTGAAGACCTTTTTCAGCGTGTGTTTGCCTTGAGACTGGGGGCTGCTGTGGGACAATACCATCTCAATAAGCAACTCAATTATCTTACATTTCAAATGACCTTTACAGGCATTTTCAGCATATTTTGGAGTTTTTTAAGGTTTGAAAAAGGGTAAAAATAAAGTTTTAAAATTAAGGAAAAGACAGATTATTGTCCGGGTCAGGATTCGGCCGGGGTGGGCTGGGGGGGTGCTCCGTTGCGGGTGCGGAGCTGAGACTGGGCGATGTCAGCCAGGGCACTCTGGATCTTCTCCAGAAGCATGTCCCCGCGGTACACCACCTCCTCCAGACGGGCGGCTGCATCGTGGTTCTCTTCCTCCAGCTGCCGCAGACTGGCCGCCTGATGGAGGGCACATTCAGCACAACTTTATTATACAAATATAGTTGTGGCGCAAACAATCATTTGTTTTAAAGCCTCATAATTTAGAGTTGTAGTGATAATATCTCTGAGACACCAGATTATGTCACACGTCACAACTGTGATACGTCTGTTCTAGGTGTGGCAATACAAGAAAATATGCAGCACCGACACAACTTTGCCATATTTTGCCAAATATTACCAGGCAATACCTTTGTATATATGAAGAGTTTCAGTTTTTTGTTTAGTTCCTACTGCATCATTTAGTAATTTATGTTCTTATTACCTTCTATTTTGAGTTTCCGTATGTTGTTATTTTTTTTTTTATTCATACGTGAATTCCCCTCTGTGGGATTAATAAAGGTATTCTGATTCAGATTTTTAAATACCTACATTTATATACAGCCTGAAAAACACATCAAAAAAATCAAGGAGATCCTTTAAAAAAAAAAAAAAGATAATTATAACCAAGGTCCTGACTTTGTATTGTTGTAGGAGATTGTGTTGGAAAATGTAGCATTCAGCTAAAAAGTAAAACCATTATTATCTTTTTTTAGTGATCTTCAGAATCAGAATACCTTTATTAGTCCCACAGAGGGAAAATTAACTTAAACAAAAAACATATCTCAACTGATTTGGATTTCAGTTGTTGAACTCTCCTACTGGTGTTACTTTGGATGTAGTGTAAAAGATCAGTGCTTAAAAATATTGGAACTCATCATCAGCGGAATACTATTTATAACAGTCACTACATAATATACCGTTCTATTTTCAGGAAGCAGAACAACACAGAAATAGAGGCAACATTTCTTCTCTATTTCCATTGAGAATACAATTCTAAAAAATAAATCACTGACCCTGAAAAACATGTAAAATATTCTTCTGATAAGTTGTTGCATCTGATTTTTAGAGGTATTCAGATTCATCACAAGGGCAAAACAGTTTTTTAAGAGTTCTTAAAATGTCTTTAAACAAGCAAACCTTAATCTATAGTTCATATATTTATTTTTGAAAGTTTTGCAATATGATTTAGAACAAAAATATATATATAGTCCATGACTATAATAATTTGTTTTAAGAGCAGACAGACACGTAGCTGTACAAGCATTCAGCTGGCTCCCTCTGCTGACAGGAAGCATGAAATACTAACTTGGTTTTTCTATGTTTTTACCAGGGAATGTGTAAGTGAAATGCAGGAGATGTGTGTGTGACAGATGTTAGTGAATGTACAGACCTGCAGAGCTGCAGTGGACTCCTCACTGGGCAGAGAGTCGATGAGTACATCCACATCTTTGGCTGTTCTGGCGATCAGGGCTGCAAATAGCTGGGCATATTCTGGATGAGGATTAAAAACATTTAAAAGGTCATCCTAATGTTGAATAAATGACGTTTCTATCTACTTTAAGCAGAGTCTGTAGAAATACGGAACATTTCCCTGACTAGTTGTAATTAAGGAATTGCTCATTAAAAATAAATATGTCTTATTAATAGGAAAAACTATATGTAATGGTGGCACGTTTTACCTGCCACAGCTAACCTGTATTAGGCAGGGGGGAGATGCTAATTCAATTCCATGCCTGTAAATCTTCAGCAAAAGATAAGACTGAAAATAACATGTGGCTGTAGTATATTATGCATTAGTCACATCTCACAATACCCCATGTCTTTTTAATAGGATTATTCGTTTGGTGCATCAATGATGTAGTCCTGAAAGTGTTGAGAAGGTAGATAGAATGAGAAAAGACAGAGACAGAAAAGTAACTAACAAAGATAAGTGACTTAAATAATGGACCTTCGGTTGGGTTTGCTGGCTGGTCTTTGTTGATAGCCGTCTGGATGTTATTGAAGGAGGCAGGAGGAGCACACTGCTGCAGGACGCCGATGGCATTGCAAAACTGATCTGCAAGCTGCACACACAAAAACATCAGGATTCAAAATCAGAATCCCTTTATTCGTCCTACAGAGGGGACATTTACATTTACATTGCACATTCATTCAAGCAGGGAGCTATATACATACATGATGAATTATAGGAAGTATTCAGCACCCTGTTAGCTAGTAAGAATGGTGGCTCCAATGCTTTTACACTAACTTATGCTGTGTGCAATGTGCATTAACCTGAAGTTGAACCAGTTGTTGGTTAACGTTACAGGCCCTGGTCATCAGCTCACATTAATGTAGCGATGTTAAGCGGTTACTCAAAACAATGGGGCTACTAGACTGACCAGTTACTTTCTTGAGATAATATTAGCAGTCAACATAAAGTTAGTATGTGTAAATTGTAGTTTAAAACACGCAAATGTGTCTTACCGAATTGACAGCGTCTTGTAGTTGTGTTAGCCTGTCCGCCATGTTTTCTGTATTTTGGCAAAACTATCGCGAGAATGCCCGTGAAATAAAAACAAACATCGCGGGATTTGGACGTTACTTCGGAAGCTTTATCATTCGGATAGCTGTAACCACCTAAACTATCTCAAGACGGAATTTACAGCACACAAGTAAAGTGTTTGAACACGTGGATGTCTGCTGTCAAATCCATGTGTTAACGCTGCATCAGAACCACTAACGTTACATGTAGTTCCTTGATGGGAACTCATGTTAGCCTGTAGCTAGTATTAGCTACTAAACATCAACAGGAAGTAACGGACTAGCTAAACTACAATGTCTTGCACTTTGAGTTCTGCAGGTACGAGAGGGTCTTCTTTTACTAATATTCTAACTTTTAAAAGAACTGTCAGAAATGTCAGTCGAGCAGAGTCTACCAGTAAGAGCAACATGTTTGTCATTGCATTATAAGTGTGGTTAGTAAGTCACCTAATAAGTTAGCTGCTGGTAATATTATGTTACACCTAGCTAGTATACTCAACCATACTGTTTACTACAGCAAAGATACGCATTCCGTACTACCACTCAATAAATATAACCCCTTAAAACATGTCAGCTTAAGCTAATTAGCTGACAGCAGCTGTCATTCAAGATGTTACGAGGAAGAGGGTAGGCTTAGCAACGAGCTAAATGCTACATGAACAATATGAATGGTGTTTTTGGTTAGTTCTCTGAATTCATGTGTTTGTACTTTATTCTGGACATTGTCCTATGCAATTAATGTTACTTGTATTAACTTTAGTGACTCCTAAATGGAAATAATCTCATAATCTAAAGGTGTACACATAGGGAGCTTACGTTTCTGTTGGTAGGAATCTAACCTTGAGATCAGTAAGTGATGAACGATAGCTTGATGAGTCCTTCATTGCTTTATCTGGCTCAATTTAAAAGATTAAAAGATAAGATACAGTCCACGGCACAAGGTATATTTACATGCAAGAACTTTGAGCCAACTCAGTAAAGTCATTAAATGAGACTGGAGAACATTAGCCTGGCTTTTACAACACAATTTAAAATGTCATTGATAGCTTACATGCAGTGTTGGCAAGGTTCATATTGAATCCTTCATATTAATAATGACTTGTTTTTCCTTAGGCATGAACTGTACCATAGAGAAGGTCCTGTCAGACGCCAAATCCTTAGTGGAGAGGCTTCGTAACCACGACAATGCTGCAGAGATGTTAATTGAACAGACAACATCGCTCAACAAGCGAGTGGAGGCCATGCAACAGGTATGGTGTCGCGTTGAATGTAAATGTTTTTATAGATGCTTCAACACAAAACTACTGAAACAAACTACAAAACATTGACATACTGGTGTATAAAAAATTGGCAAATCACTTTAAAGAGAGTTTTTAAAGTTTAATTTCAAAGCCTGACCATTTTTGGGATTTTCTTTTAGGCTAAAATCATCCAGTTGTTTAATCTGAGTTGTTTCTTGTTGTTAGTACCAGGAGGAGATCGACTCATTGAACCAGGTGGCCCGACATCGTCCTCGTTCTAGTCTGGTCCTAGGAATCCAACAGGAAAACCGCCAGATCAGAGACCTCCAGCAGGAAAACAAAGGTACGCAGTTAATTTGTGATACTAACTTAGCTTTGGGATCTGTTTTAATGAACACAAAATAAATGTAGTACGCAAAACAACCCCAAGTTCCCTATTTCTGCAGAGCTACGGTCGTCGTTAGAGGAACACCAGTCTGCCTTAGAGCTCATCATGACCAAATACAGGGAGCAGGTGTTCAGGCTGCTCATGGCCAGCAAGAGGGACGACCCGACCATCGTGACCCAGCTGAAGGAGCAGCACACCACGGTCAGGGAGGCCCACTTGTTCTTTTAAGTGCCCTCTCATTTGGGGAATATTAGATAATACATGTGACACTTGTAACTTGTCAGCATCAAGCAACTAAAGACTAACTTTAGCATAAACACAAAAAAGGATATATACACTTTCCCTACTAACACTGTCTCTGATATTAAGAATGTTGTTTATCATTCAGGCCTATTGAAATTGCATTTGCGTCAGCCTCAGAAAGTGTATTGCATTTATCAAATTAACAGCAGCAGCAAATGTTTAAAAAGGGTCCATGTAGAAAATATTGAACATATTCCAGTGATAAAAGGAGTGTTTCTAAAAAAGAAATGTCATCTTTGTAGGAAATGCAGGCACACATAGACAAGATCAATGAGATGGCCTCTGTGATGAGGAAGGCGATAGAGGTGGACGAGGGGGGAATATGTGAAGACGAGGAGAGGATTAAACAGCTCGAGGTAAGAAAACATGTCCCCCCATACTTCTACATGCACTTCCAACAGTTGTCCACAAACACTTGCTGGTGGGTTCTTTTACACAAAACACAAAATCCTAAGCACTTGATAAACACATGTTTGTTCTCGCTAACTAACACAGCGCATGAAATTCCAGAAAAATCTATTCTAGTGAGAGTAACATTGTTAAATAGGTAGTAGTGAAAGAACTATGACCAAAACAATCAACAGACAGCACTGGTTAAAATGACAGAAGCCCCCTCATTCTGGATATACATAAAACCCAGTTAAATCCCTTCACATTTTAAGTACCCAGTCTATAATGTTATGTTGTGAATTTGAAAGCAACAGAAACAGCGACTGTAGAGACAACAAATTCCTGCATCTCCATCTGTACCTAAATGTTCCATTCAGTTTAATAAGCCAGTTGTGGACCCAGACTGTGACCAAGATGATTATGTAAATGCACAAAATGGCAATAGCCGCGACCATGTTTATATATTCATCCATGCGTTAATGCATTTACACACACAACCCCTCAAATACTTGTCCAGCTTCCTAAGGGCAACACTGGCAGGGAAAGCTGCAGAGAAGTCACTGAGATAATGAATTTAAGTAAGACTGATGGTATATGTGGTGATATGATTGATTCGAAATCACTAATGTAAATTCAGACCCTGTTCCTTAAATGAAAAGCAAGCTACACATCAGTATTTATAGATAGTAGTAGTGTTGATAGTATCCCATCTGAATGTATGGCTATATGTTTGTGTTTGTTAGCTGGAGAACAGTGGACTGCGAGAGCTGCTGGGAATCAGTCGAGAGGCGTTCCTGGTTCTGAAGAGAGAAGAAACATCAGAGAGCACGTCACTGTCGCCGCTGCTGAGCAGCGCTGACGTCAGCCTGAGAAAGAGTTAGAGAGCCCTCGGTGACTACACCCCCCCCCCCCCCTTGCTGCTGCCACATACAAACACATACCACTTAATCTTTCCCCCTACAGATAGTCAGAAGATCTTATCCCTTCTCCTGGAGCCTTCACAGGGAGATGCTGCATCCTCGTCTGGGGACTCAGACACATGTAGTGTGAACACACATCTTCCTCTTTTTTTGTTGGTACTTTTGTTTTGTTTGCTAATTTAGCCAGCATGCATGAGTCTGTAGTGTCTGAGATGTTTTAATGCGTGAATGGGTAAAAGAAGGGCTTGAGTTCAAATAAATCCGTCAACATGAAATGGTCTCTGCTTGGTTGATATTGATTTCATTTTACTTTCAAATGACAAACCCCATGTTTTTGGTACTGTTTTTTACACTCTTCTCACTTTCCACCTTCTCGTTGTAACATCATTTCATCAGCAGCTTAAAAGCAGAAATAGAAACATTTTCCAACACACAGGATCTGCTGAAACATCCACCTTCTATTTCTGCTGCAGAACTACAACATGCCAGGAGAGTTTAATTCAGTGGTTAAAGAACATTTCTGTAACCGGAACTATTTTTATTCTAAAACTTTTCTGACTAAATACTCAAAAATTATAACCAGTTACAGTTATATCTCATATATCAATGTGAAATTGCCGTTGTGCCGAATTAATACTCTTACTTTTATAACTGTAAGTACATTCTGATGCGAATACATCTGCAGGCCTATAGCCCAATATCACAAGCAGTTTACAGTTTATACAGAATATTTTAAGTAAAACATCTGAGTACTTTGTCCACCAATGCAATTTTTATAAATGAAATCACATTTATCCTTGTGTCACCGATCTCGCTTTAATCTGTGTGGAGCAAATAGGGTGTGGAGAGGGAGGGGAGCTCTCGCGGGACCGAGAGCGAGATTCTCGTACAGCTGTCGGACTCGGAGCGGCAGAGCGAGCGGCAGAGGGAGAAGACAGACAGTTGTTGGTGAACCTCTGTACTGTCTCCGTGTCTCTCTCTGGGAAGCATGTCGCCTCTGCAGGGACTTCTTCTACCCAAACACAGGAAACTGCGATGTAACCCATGGTTTTACTAAGCTGCAGATAAAAAAGCTTTGTTTGAAGCAGAGGAAAATGTCTCTTTGGATTTGGTGCCCGCTGCTGCTGCTGGTCTGCGAAGTTCAAGCTCAGATGGAGAGTGAGTTACAGTCATTTGCACTGCTTTCGTTTTTATCTTTCCCATTCTCTACAACCGACTAGTATTTGGTTATTCACATGAACCTGGTACTTCTGTGATTCATATCTGTTTGTATGTAAATCACTGAAGTGTCACTCTGCTCAACTTGTTATTGTTGTGTAGCTTAAGCTAGCATTATCTAGCAGCTAAATCCCATATTAACTCACAAACAGGCTCTGTGTCAAATGATTTTTAAGTCCAGTATATATATCTCAAACCTCATATAGTCAGTTTCTTTCAGTTTTTTGAGTAAACAAGTTTATTTATCAGGACATGTATTACCCTGAGCTGCCCTGAGTTTATCTTTTCAAACACAAATACTTTTAGTTATTCTTACTATAAATGTTAATATTCCTCTAATTCTCAACATAATATCATTGTTTTTCATTCATATTTACTCAATGACCTACTGTTTTACAGAATAACAACAGTAAATTCAGATCTGTTAAAAGTTCAATAGAAAAATCAAAGTCCAGCTAACACTGTTCAATCTTTTAGACCTTTGAATCCAAACACATGGTGTGTTGTAGAATGAAGTATTAAAACCAAGTATATTTACTGTATTTACTCTGAGTTAAATAATCCCTTTGATCGATGACAGAAATATGTCAGCAGCATCAAGTTGAGATGAAGTAACAAACACAATTTATTCTGAAAGACTTTACAGATCACAGATTTAAGCGTCAAGTAATCACTGATTTAGGCCAGTATTAAAATATTAGGAATGTATAATTATTCAGAGTTCTACGCCTAATTTTAATGTTTCAGTGTTTGTTCTTGTAGTCTACATCAAAAAGTAACTGATAGTGGTGTATAATCTAATATGTTTTACTTTTATTTACAGTACAATATTGTTTTTACCATTAAATATCCTCTTATGGTTTCTGACGAATTCAAGACTTCACATTTTTCCTCTTGCTCACATGGTAGAAAGATCCGGAGCGTGCCCTGTAAATGCTCAGAGACGATAAGGCTGCAGCACGTGTAACCTGCAGCTAATCTGCACAGCTTGGAGTTCCATAGCTGACATTCCTGCTCTCCGTATGACACATGAAATAACACCAGACAAAGGATTGCACTTATTACAGAGTTATAATATGCAGCTTTGTAGAAGTTCAATGGAAAAAGTTGGTTGTACACTTTCTCTCACTTTGATGAGAGAGATATGTGAAGGAGATAAAAACTGTGGAAAGTTCACTATGACAGACAGTGACAAGTTGAGCGTACAGATAGGACCAAATGATTGCTGTGGTAAAATATCTTTAAGACTTTTGATAAGATGCTTTAGTGAACTGTAATGTTTTCTAGTGATCGATCTTTTAGTATTTATTGTAAATCTCCTTCCCATAGATTTGTTTTTAATGTGTTCTCTGATCTCATTGGTAGATTGTTGCTGTTGTGATCATTAAAAAAGATCATGTTGTTACAGCGAATAGATTTATCGTTCATTATTTATTGCTGTTTTATTTTATTGGGGGACACAGCAGCTGAGTGCTTTACAGGCAGCACACAGCAGTCATCAGATGAAATCACATCATGTGACTGACCGGTCCTTCTTCTCTGCTGCAGACCGTGTGATCTTCCTGCCGGGAACCTTTCAGAACGTGAGCTTCTCTCAGAACGAGACGGTGCAGGCCGTGGTGTCCAGGATCCCCCCCGAGGTGGCCTTCATCACTCTGCAGTTCCACACGCAGCACCGCAACGCCACGCTCTCCTACACCAGGGTGAGGAAGTGCTCACAGACATTTCTCCACTAGTGTCTGCTCAGGAGAGAATGGCTGAGAAAAAGCTGAATATAGTCAACAGAGAACCTGGTCTTTTAACTGTTGCTTGCTAAAGTGCACCAGTCTGTACGTGGTCCATTTGGGGACTTGAACCGGCGACTCTCAGGTTTCCAAGCAAAGTCTTTTACATGCTGCAGCCCAAATTCCTTGAGTCTTGAGTCCACAAGCCAGACATATTCAATTTAATTGAATATAAAACTGAGAAAAGCAGGACATCTTCATATTTAAGAGCCTGAAAACAGCATTTTCTTGCATTTTGGCCAATAAATCACTTCAACGATTAACAAAATAGTTGGCGATTGTCTTTTCTGTCCTTAAACTTAAGGATTAGTCCACTCAAATCATGTTCATATATTTAAAACACGTGAAACACTGCTACAGAAGAATGCAAAGTAAAGCCTGTAAGCAGATTTTCTTAACTTTGGACAAAAGCTGTAAGAAGTCTCCAATCTCTTCTCACATCTACTTCTTTCCTTGTGAATATATGTTATTAGTAGTATCAAAATTAATGTTTAGGCTTGTTTCTTTATTTATTAGGCCACTTAATAACATTTTACTTTACTACCGGACACATACACTTATTTTAAGCTTTTTAAAACTGAAATTGATGGATAAAGTCTTGTTGAAATATGAGGTGGTTCATGTGTTATTATTAGCTTAGCATTTATCACAGCTGTTACTTCTGGGAGCTCTGATGGATTACTACATGTTCTTCATGGTACAGAGAGTGTACCGAGAAAGACCCCGATCAAATCCCATTTTCTTGAGTTATTCTTGAAGCGAGTGACTGTATAAAAAGCAGCAGTAAAAGCTCATCTAAACTGTGAAATTAAAAGTATACTCACTCTTACTGTATGAGCAGGGAGTGAGTTCTAGCCCTGATTAATGAATGAGGCTTTGTGAGCGAGGTGGTCTGGCCCAGTGGGAGAGGGGCAGTCAGCTGACGTACAGTCCACCGGTCATGAGTGGCAGACAGGGCGGCCTGAGAGAAAAAGCTCCTGGCGTCCCAGAAGTCTCAGGGGACAGCAAGCTTTAGATCCACACTGCAGAAGAAAACAAATCTCAGTGGAAAAAAGGAGACGACCACTAGCTACAAAACAAACAAATCTGCAACATACAGAGTAAAAGAGGAAGAGTACGGCAGCGATTAATGATACTCTGTTATCAATCCATCATTTCCTGTTCCCCTTTGTTGCTATGACTGTTACTCTCTGCAAGTGGTAAACCACAATATCCTATTTTAGGTTTGTTGTTATTCTTTTATTAGCAACTATGGTTATTGCTGGCCCTGTCCATTTCTCTTTCTACACGGATGCACTCTGTCAGTAGTGTAAAGTAAAGTAAAGTAGATTTACTCAAGTCACTGTACTTAAGAACGATTTTTGAGGTACTTGTACTCTACATACTTCTTTTACTATCTGTATTATTATGTTGCATTGTTGGAGAAGCCTGTGACATAAGATTTTCAACGACATAATTACTCTGTAGCTATGTTAGTTTGACAATAAAGAACCTTGAACCTTGAACCTTAAGTATTTCTATTTTATGCTACTTTATACTTCTACGCCACTACATTTCAGAAGCCTTTCATTTTTATTCCACTACATTTATTTAACAAAATGAGTTACTAGTTACTCTAAATATTAGGATTAGTAGCTGTTACAAAATATTAAAAAACTAAAGCATAAACTATAATATATAACTATAGGTTCAGAAATGTAGCAGTGGTATATAAAGTAATTAAATTAGCTCCACATTTACTAGCACTGATGATAAGTTAATGCATGAATGATAATAATCCAGTAAATTAATATGATTGGGAAAGGGGACATAGTACTTTTCCTTCGGGTGCTTTTAAGAAAAATGTGATGCCAATACTTTTTGAATACTTCACTGTCACAACTAAAATGAAATTACATTAAAAACTGCAAAGAAAGCTTTATCTCTTCTTACTCCAGCTCTGACTGTCAACAACGTCAAGACATGTGTCATACAATGGAGTTATTGTCTGTGGGCAATGGGCACACACAGCCTTCAGTGTCACACAGTAAATCAGCTTATGCTCACAGAAAAATATGTCGGGAGATATATTGTTGCCCTCTGCCATCACCATTTTCTGCTTAATGAGTTATTTCCAAGACATTTCTGGTAAGCTATATATTATAAGTGGAGCTTTTGTGAAAAATGGCAGTGTTAGTCGTCTAAGATCACAACAGGCTTTCATAAGTTAGACAAGTTGCTCACGTTAGTTACACAATCCCATTTAAAACGTGTTGATACCTTGAGAGGTTACT